AATAAACAGTCTGAATAATATAATGACCATTTTAGCCATTGTTCTACAATAATTGTTTCATAAATACAAATTCTAAATGATAAAAATATCAGTCTAACAACTTGATTTAATATAACAATACAAACCTAACAGATGCAAATATATAACTGCAACATCTTCTTCAACCTGTGTGACTCTTTATAAAAAACTAGTTGTGTACCCGCGCAATGCGGCGGTAGCCATGAATTTTAACGATTTTGAAATTCCACTGGTTTTATAAGATAAGATTTAACGATTATATATGTTACACTTGGTCTTTACATATTAATACAATTTGAATAAATGAGAGTTATGGTTCCAATTACAGACTATCGATGAAAAAAAATTGTATGACAGTTTAAAATCCAATATATTTAAAATCCAACATATTTAAACGACTTCACAAATGTGTTCGATTTATACCAAAAGCAAAGAACCAAAAAACTTGAGTTTTAAGATAAACACTCAAAACCAATAAAGAAAACTACAAATTTGACAGATCATAAGCAATAAAAAGACCAAAAAAGATGGGTTTTTGAATGAAATTTCAACTGCTTACCCTCTTTCTTGTTCAAAAACTCAAATTAAGGTTGAATTAATACATGTATATATATATTTCAAAAAAACCCAAGAACATATTAATTCATAACATATTATACAGTGCAATTTAGACAGTCTAACCCCAAAATATATAGTATATATATAAATAAATAACTATAAAAGTATAAATCGTAAATATTAAAAATATTTTTTCATAACATATATAATATATAATAATATAATTAAGTAAAAAACTATTCAATATTGGACTCATTTCGAAGGTATTAACGAGACGATTATAATTGTGTAACTTGTTAAAATAAAAATGTATTTTTTAAACATGTTTTAATTGATATACGATTATGTATATTAAAAGTAAATGACGTAAAGTAAATTAATTAACTAATTATAGGGGTATAAAGTTTAAATTTAAATTTATAATTTTAAAAAAAATTGGTTGTGAGGAGGTGAGTGTATGTGAGGAGATGAGTGGGTGAAAAAGTGATATAAAGGGTATCTTGGTCATTTAGTATTTTAAGATTTTAAAACTTTTGTTAAATTTGCTTTATAAGATAGTATAGATTACTTGCTCATAAGTATTCAAACAAAATTAAGAGTCTAACGTTCAAATAAATGTGATTCACTAACATAGCTACAAGACCATAATTGCATGCTAGTCTACTAGATCATGATCCACTATAAAAGACAATTGTACTTGGAGTATCAAGAAATGCCACCTGAAATAAACATACCATGAGTTGGAAACTTTTGCATTGTACTCGACTAGTAGAATTTGATTGAGATGGTTGTGTGGTCCATCACCCTTTATATTACGAGGCAACTTCAACAAAACTGGTGTTTATGTTAAATGCGGGCCCGACCCTGGGCACGTGCAGTCCGTGCGACCGCACAGGGCATCAAAGCCCAAAGGGACATCAAATTTTTATATAGTATTAGTTATGGTTTTTCGGGTTTAGTAACTTGAGACTTGGGCTTTAATTATAAATAGAGGGCCAACTGGCCAAGCCTATTAACAACAAACCCAATGACTTAATCGGTGACAATAGGATAGACGCATCACAATTCACAAGATGATTGGCTTTGGCGATTTGCAATTGACGATCTCTATTGTTCTTTGAGTGTTCGAGTTTTTCAATTTTCGACGATGACGTTCCAGTTCCAGTTCCAGAGGAAGACGATTAATGATGATGAGTCTAATGACTGTCCATGGGACGATGTATCGATCTTGATGATCAATCGATGAATTGCCGACTGCCCGACTATATATACTCGAATACACGATTGTCGATTAAACTCTCAGATCTCAATCCTTCAAATCTAGATACAGTCGAATGCATTGTATTTTTTCAAATCTGGATTTTGGAACTGTGGAAGTCGAACTGTGGAAGTCGATTGTATTGTTTCTCAAGCCAATGTATGATTTTGTTTCTAAATTCTGACATAGTAACATTTAATTGATTAATTTTGACATTATGCATTCATTATATTTCCAATTGATACAAGCTCTCTTGTCATCTTATGGTAATGGTTGCTGACTTGCTCACTTGCTGAATGTTGAATATGAAAAAGTAATTGATACATTTGCTTCTAGAAGTACACGAATACATCGTTTTAGGTGATATATTTATATTTTGTAATTTGGGGTTTTGGTTTTTATGTCCCTCTTAGTATTTTCCATGTTAATTAATAAAATTCGACGTAAGGTTGAAATCCCTAGCTTGACTAGGTTCCAAACCCTTTAATAAAATCGTATCTTTCGTCATTTCATTTGCTTAAAAAATAGGCACAAGGGCATTTTTTAGGATCTTCGCACAGAACATCAAAAACCTCAGGAACGACACTAGTTAAACGTTCAAATGTGTTCTTTCGTCCCGAACAATTAATTCCTTAAAACGCAAATGATCAAACAACTATTTCTTGAACGATTCGAAAGCCAAATCTAGCTTGTCCAATTGTTCAATTGCATTGTTATTGTACATGAACAACCAAACCTGTCACTTGATGTATTATTCATCAAATCCAATAATCTCTCATACCTTTTCGTGTTAATCGGGGGTACTATTCAAATCCACCTTTTCCAAAATCCAAACCAATTTTTCAATCATGTCAACACATATTCCAATACAACTAAAACTTAAGATTCAAAATACCATAACAGAAACCTATTCATCAAGCATTTATCCAGTTTCCTCAACTCTGATTTTGACTGGACTCATTTTGTTTCGCCTCCAATTTGCCTTACCATCTTATCTCCATTGTTGTTGGTTCAAGGAGGCTAGCATCAAGACATTTGTTGAAACCCATATCAAAACCTTTTTGTGCGTGAAACAGAAGCGAGATAGAGAAGGGACAAGGGAGCAACCACAAGTGGCAATATGGAAGGAGAGCGTTTGAGAAGCAAACACAAGATAGAGGAGTGTCATGAGCGCATTTCAGTGGTAGTGATAGAGGAGGGTAGTGAAAAAAAGGAGAGTTGCCCGAATTATGCTCATTCTCATGGGTTAAGTGAATAAGCAATTGGTTGAACGAAAAAACCACAAACAAATAGTCACGTATAACTAACATAATAAGGGGTTGTTTACTTTTTTTTTCCCTCCATAAGTCCTGTATGGGTTAGATTATTTATTTGAACAAATTTGTCCATCTGAAGGTTCGGAGACCGATGAATTTGAGGGAGACAAAAATAGTTAGATTACTCATAGAGCATCTTTAATATTAATTTGTTTGAGGTGTCTTAATGGAGAAAAGTAAGGGATAATGACTTATTTCATTAAACCATTTGGTTAAATGATTTAGTTATTAAATACTAAAAAACAACACTAGTATATAATCGATCAAATAAACCATCCAAATCATTAAGTTGATTAAGGGGCCGTTTACCAAACGCTTATCCGAGTAAGGAGCTGTTCGTTTTGTTTTATGTTAAAACCTGTATGGATATAGTTGTCTGTATATTAACATATAAGTTCTTGTTCGGTTGTTGTGCTGAATAAACAGTCTGAATGTCAGAAATGACCATTTTATCCCCGGTCTTTATTTTTGTCTAAATAAAATAACAGTTTGATGAAAATGTGGATGGATACATGTATAACTATTCACAATGGATTTCCAAATGTTCTTTTCCTTTATGATCTCAACTATTCAAAATTGAAACTAAAGAGTAAAAAAATTATCTATGCGTACAGTCTCATTTACAATGAAGAAAGGTCTAAGTGGTGATGTCTATGTTGGTGGTAAGAAATTTTTTGCACTTCACATAACCCAACCAAACGGAATGAACAGGTATACTGCACTTCTCTGCTCCGATCGAAAACCCCCAACAACACCCTCCACTTTCTTTCTTATCCCTCCATTCACCATCGTCCCTAACACCACGCTACCTAACCCTCTAAAATCTCTGCCGGCAACAGACACTAGAATGGGGGGCTCACTCTTCCAGTCTTCACCAACATAGAACACACATCGACACACACCTATATAAAGCACACACACAGACCCACATGGGTATTTTTGCCTTCCTTAAACCCTAGACTCCCACATCGAAATCGAAATCGAAATCAAGATGGATAGAAAGCTCGTTTCAGAATTGAAAGAAGACTTTGACCCAAATCAAAATCAAGATCAAGGAATAGGTAATCTCGTATGTTGATTTAAACCCAGTTCGAAATTTGAGAGATGGAGAGAAAGCTCGTTTCAGAGATGGAGGACGAGGGATAGACAGAGATCGAGAGATGGAAATGAGGAGCAAGGAGCTACAAGACCTTATCTTCTTAAAGGAGGCATGCTTGAGGAAGGAGAAGGGAGGCAACGTGAATCATAAGGACAAGAAAGGAAAAATGAGGGCTGAATGCAAACCACACCTTTTTACTAGCTGACCGAATAAGCCATCATCTGTTTCATTAAGCCACAACCGAACAACCTTGTATGGCTTACCGAATAAGCCATACATTCTATACAACTTATTAAGCTGCTACCGAACAACCCTTAAGTGCTTATCAAGTAACATTACCTTACTGAATGAATATGGTAAATACCAAGAATCTTACCCGGTAAGAACAAAGACAAGTACTGAGAGTCTTACTCGGTAAGAGAGATCGATAACTCTTACCATGGTTAGTGCTTACCGGATAAATTGTTGCATTTGATACAATTTTGGCGGATTAAAATCTTATCCGATAAGTAAGTCATAATATTAAAATTTTCCAATAAACACTTAACCGGATAAACTTTTGGTAAACGCGTAAACATTAATTGGGTACCAAATAACCAATCTATTTGATTTGGTTTGTACTTTGTAGTAAAAAAAATTGTACCCAACTTCACATTATCCCACAAGTAAAAAAGGAGTCAAAACATATAAAGGAGGCGGAACTCAAACCCACGTTTAACCAAAAACGCGAAATTCACCTATAGATCTGTTTCAAATCCGCGCCTCTCACTTCCTCCGACCTCCTCCCACCCTTGTCACCACTCTCTCTTCTAAACTCAAAATCAAACCCTAATTCGCCGTCAGTTGTTCTCCTTAATCTCACGACGATACCGAAAGAGCAATTTGCACGGTAAATTGGAGTTAATTTCCCACAATTTCATGTTTCTTTGAACTTTTATGCGAAAATTGGGGTTTTCTTCGGTTAATATTTGTGGAACTTGATAATCTCGGGATTTTACAATCTGGCTATGGATTACGAACCTTTCGATAGCAGCGGTGAGCTCTAACTCTACAAAGATCCTATTTTTTCAACTTTATTTTGTTGTAAGCTAGGTTTTTTTTGGGTGAATTTGTTATTGATCAGTATATGATGCTTTCAGCTTGAATTTTTCCTGCATTTTCTTTCTGAATCGGGGTTTAGTATTTTTTGGTGTATTTCGTTGCACCTTTTTTTCATCTAGAAGAATGAAGAGAACGACAAGTGTAGCTTCAATAATGACACTCTTATTTTTGGTGTCGTGGACTGCAGCTGAAGTTTGTTGTCTTCTTTGATGGTAGCTTGTAGTTTGGGTTGAATGTACTTGAACCAAGTGACGCTTCAAACCTGAGAGCTACCTTGTTGGCATAACCAAGAGATACGTTTTATTAAGATAGACTGTCTTCCCCAAAAAAGACAATCAGCTAGTTATTGTTAGGGGTTTATGTGACTTCATAACTGGAAATTATCATTGTTGGCATCGTGCAAATTTAATTTTTGAATTGTTAGTGGAAATATGACCTCTAACCAAACAGAGATAACCCAGATATCAGTAATTCAGAATTAAGGGGCGGTCATAAGTAGCTCAATTGTTTCTCATTGAAAAGAATAAAAAAGCATGTGGCTTGTGATCAAGTAGGGTCCTTACACCATGTGTAAGCTTTCTTCTTTTGGTTGATCATTGGCTGTTGATTTCCATGCATCTCTTTTAAGGTGTGTACTTTGTGTTGCTTAGTCATGTGGCATGCCATGTCATGCTTGAATACAATTCCTTAGAGCATCTTACCCTTTCTTTTTGGATGCCTGATCTTTTCTGGTTTTAATTGTCATCAGGATGTTTGTACCTGTAACACTCCAACTCTAGAAGTAGAGTTTGTGCCATTTTAGATTCATTTACCGGCCTACTTTTGTGAGAGTGAGTGAACTGAAGTTTTTACAAAAAAATGCGAGTGTTACAGAAATTTGAGCTGCACATAACACACAATACTCTCTTACATGTCGGTCTTTTCAGTTCCTAGCATGTAAAGCCTTGTACTTTATCATTATCTGCAGAAGCACATTGATGCTAATTCAAGATTTTATTTTAATGTTCTTAATGTTTGTTAGTTGGATTTGAACTGGTCATGAATTTGTTTCACATTGTACATCTTGTCAGTTTGTTTTAAAGTGCATTAATGCTCTAAACATTCTTTGGGTGGTTTGTGGCGTTTGAGAACCAAAATAGCAGTCTGCTGTATGTTTCTAATACGCCACATGGTAACTATGTTGTATAATATATATAGACAGTTCATAGGATTGATGGCTGAAGGGTAAATTGCTGCTCAATCCTTGTTGGTTGGTTAAGGGTTAATTGGATGTAGCATAGAACTGAGACACAGTGCTTTCCCTTGCAGGGAACAGATAGGCATCATAGTCACACTCACACCACATGCTTTGGCGCAATGTCTTTTGAATCTCATAAATTCTTAATCTTTTGTGATGAATGAAGTCAATGAACTTAAGGACTATCCAATGCAGATTACTCCCCATCATTTCATAAAAAGATTCTGTGGTTTTCAGACAGAAAGAAAGCAGTAGGAGTTTGGTGATGGCTGACAAGTGTTTCTATTTATGTACTTCTAACAAATAGATGCAGGGATCATTGAAAGATAATCAAGTTCATTCTATTGTAGCTCCGATGGGCATTACGGCTGATTTATTTTTTGGCTTTGGATTTGTTACAGTACTTCAAGTTAAGCACCAATAACTACAATTTTTGTATGCAAAAGGCCATAGTATGACACCACCACACCTGAACTTCACTTGAGATTTACTTTTCCTACCAGGTAGCATTGGAATTAGACATATCTTAATTAGCTACTGAGCTGAAACCGTATTTTTTTCAGCAAGTTTTGCAATTTCATATTGTCATGCGTAAGTGAAAGATAACAGTGGGAGTTTTTCATCCATAAATATGATAGAACCTATGTTGCAAGGACATGGGCGTGGGGATAGAAATACATGATACATGGATGTTGAGATTTGGAGATTCTAAAAAGTTGAGGATTTTTTTTGGAAGGGTGTCCTAGGCTATGCCTGGACTAATCCCGGCAAATTGTGACTGCAAGAAAACCAGCCCCGATAAACCCAGTGGCCACAATTGTTGAGTATGCATGGAATCAAACCCTGGGCAGATGGGATATTCCGCCATATTCCACATGACCTCAACCACTATGCCACAACCCTTGTGGTTTAATTCTTTTTGAGGATCTCAGTGTGTTTATGTACATTTATGTGTGTGCATATATATAAAAATCTTAAACCTGGCCAATTGAAATAAAAGGTTACTTTATGATTCATACATTAAATACATAAGATAATTACAATTATACAAACTAAAATCTAAGTTTCTCATGAACTTGCTTTTAGATACTTGGCCTATAAACTATCATAAAAAATAATTTGTTTTGTTTCTTCTTTTTCTCAGTCATACAACTTATATATGCAAAATTGCTCCTTGGAAATTATTGTATTCCCACGAATTCATGGTCAATATATTTAGGGATGTGGTAAATGCCATGCACCCCGTAATAAATGTGCCATAAAGCACCCTATAGGGATTTGGCCAGTGGTGGAAGCATCCCTGCTTCCTAGATGAGAGTCTAACTGTTAGAATTGATGTGTGTAATATTACATTTGGAAAATATTTCTTCTTTGCAACAGTGAGGATGTGGGATAATGGATTAATCATAAGACGTTTCATGTATATTTTTGGTGGTTGCTAATGTGGGATAATGGGCTAATGTTCTTGTATTTTGAAGTTGATAGACCTGGTACATCACATACATATCATCGAATTGTAACTGATGTTATAGGACCTGCTGGTTCCCTCATGAATCACGAAGATGTTCGTGTGTTTTGGGATGCGAAGTAGGTGAATCTACAAGTCAAGTAGCCACATTGTCAATACCCGAACTTGCAAAAAATATGGAGAACTTGATGATGAGAAAAAATCAAGACTATGTTTAGAGGAGATAGCTTCTTAATCATTAAAGCCACTTCTTCTGGCTGGTGTTTTCCTTTTTATTAGGGATTTTGTGGGGTTTTCAGAAAATGCATAAACGATAGGAAGAGAAAAGGACAGAAGTGCAGTGAAGGAGATAAAAGTTCATTTGACATTTTACTCACTGTACTTGCCTAACGTTTTCACCAAATTTGGGTGCTTAAACTGGAATGTTGTGCATTCTTTTGTCACTGCCAAATATATTCTTTTGACTAACGTTTTCATCAAATATATTTTTAATTATGTTCCTACATCTATTAGTAGATAACTGATGCTAATTGGTGGTCAAAAATAAAGAAATTAGTATTTGAATCACATCCATACCTTATTTACTTAATCACTTCATCTTTATTCTATTTAGACCTAGCTTAATTTATATTTTTTTCTAGCATGTAATATTTCCCTTTTTATGGCAATAGAACCTAAATCAGTTACCCTATTTTATTATAATCATCTTATTTGCTAGTTCTGTAAGATTATTGTATTTACAGTATATTTGATTGCACATGAGTACAACTGTATATGGATATATGTAATGTACTGCACTCAAGTATTCAGTGTAGTACATCTCTAAAATAATGTAGTTGATGAGACTAAATCACAAGAACAATGTTACACCAATACAAGTATATATGGATACATTTTAACATACTGCATACACAAAATAATATACCCATACCTGCATCTCAAACCAACGAATTTTCCCAATTGCATCTAAACCGTAACACCTCCTTCCTGCCACCAAGAAAGGGGCAAAACTCTAGAGATGCTTCTTGCGTGAATTGTATGATTTGTATCGTAAAAAGGTAAAGATGTAAAATGATACGACCATTGGTGAACGTCAAAAGCAATTGGTGATAAGGATTGTTCAGATAGTAACCTATGCCTATGTGTTGCTTTAAAATCAATGTTTAAGCTATGGATGTCTTTAACGATAATCAGTGGTGGTGATCCTTTTGACATATGATGTAAATAATACTTCTAAAGGTGTATATTCAATGCAATAGGATGTAAATAGTGCTCCTAAAAGAGTGTATAAATTGTTATCTGAAGTATCCGTTTGAAATATGACGCTTATTCTTGGATATATTATTACATGGGTTCGGGGAAAAGAGAGTATTAGATAGTTATCTACTAGGCTTTCTTGCTCCGGACTTGTAAAAATATTTACATAAGATGGTTTACACGGAGTGCTGATTGGATGCCTTTTCCCCTTTCTTTTGCTTGCTATTTCTTATTTACACCTGACATCTCATTTTGTCTTGGTGAACTTGAACCTCATGATAGATTATTTGAAATTGTTGCAGGAACTGATGATGATCTTCCTCCGTCACATCAAAATAGAATTCCAAGAGGTGGGCGTGTTGCAGGAAATGGAAGAGCTGCAGTTATGGGTTCTACCCAATATCCTAGGATGTATGCAGAAACTGATATGGAAGCCCAAATTCACCACCTTGAGCAAGAAGCATATAGTTCAGTTTTAAGAGCCTTTAAAGCTCAAGCTGATGCCATCACTTGGGTACTTCTAAATATATGCACTAATCCGATTTCTAAATTTTTACTCACTCAGGCTTTATTGAATGTTCAATGCATGAATTTCTTCAGGAGAAGGAAAGTCTAATAACTGAACTCAGAAAAGAACTGAGATTATCAAATGAAGAACACAGGGAGCTTTTGGGCAAAGTAAATGCAGATGATGTTATTCGTAGAATAAGGTCCATTGGTGCTACTAAACAAGCTTTATTATTTTGTGACAATTGTCCCTATTTATCTGATTTCAGCGAGGCTTTGATCTTTTCTATTTTCTGATGGATAATGTTTTGATGATGCCAATAGGGAGTGGAGACAGTCTGGTGGGATTCAACCTGGGATTCTTGGCACTGGGCAAGCTGTTCATGATCCATCACCCAGTCCCTCTGTCTCAGCATCTCGTAAGAAACAGAAGATGAACCCATCAGGAGCTTCACAATCTTTTGGTGGACCACCTGCACCTTTTCATCCACAACCAGTGTCTGCACCGAACCAGCCATCTTCATCAGCTGCTAGAAGAGCACCTCTGACAGGAACTAAGGGCAAAAACAAGAAATCTGTAAGATGAAATTCCTGATTTTGGTACTACATGGCTTCTACTTTATTTTTCTTTCGAGTTTGACTTTCATTTTGACAGGCCCAGATGATGGGTGGAGCATCTTCAATGAAAATGCAGTATCCTCCCTCAGGTCCAACCGCAAGAGGCCAGCTTGGTAATCGTGTGACTTCTGGTGCACTTGCAAATGAGTCTGCTGAGACAGCATCATACTCGGCGTTGATTGGGAGAAAAGTGAGAACCAGGTGGCCTGACGACAACAATTTCTATGAAGCTGTTATAACAGATTATAATCCTGTTGAGGTAATTTGAATATGCAAACATGTACATATTCAGTACCCTGGGCCTCCATATTATATGCTAAAAATTTCTCATTGCCATTTTCAGGGTCGGCATGCGTTAGTTTATGATATAGGCACAGCAAATGAGACTTGGGAGTGGGTCAATCTTGCAGAGGTAAGTATAAAACTAGTCTACTATATTGCTAATTAAAATAGAATGCTTAGGAGTATAACAAAATATGTTTACAGGTGCTGCCAAGGTGCCAAGTGTATGATCCCTAGATACACACATATATACATGCATCTGTGGTTAGCATTAGGTGTTCTTGTCTTTATTTATTGATAATAGTAGCAATAATCATTTTAGCATTATCATTATGGTTTTGGCATGATTACCTATCTTCTCTTATGCTTTCTATATGTCTATTTGTTTTTTGTCTCTTCTTTGGCAAGAGAGGATGAAGTTTAAGAAGTTTGGGTGATTGGGATGTTATTTATCTATGTTCTTGATCCGGTACATTCCTTAGCATAGGTGATTGCATCCATGATAAAATTCGATACTGTTAGGTCTCAATGATCCAATCTTGCTCTTCGGATTTATGCCAGAATAAGCAATATCTTGCAAATAAGGAGGAATTTTGTTTTGGACAGTTTAATCTCAAGTCTATACATTGATATGCGAATGGCTGGTTGGTTGTCGGTGTTGTTTGATTTATGATTGATGGGATTATGAAGTTCCATTTGGCTGCTCCTGTAAGGGCATGCATATAGTCGGTGATTTATAAATCATAACTATATTTACTTTGCAGCTATGTGGTGTCACGTAGGTTGGATACCCTTTTGTGCCATCATTGTTTCCAGCCCCATTTTGAAGATAGGTCCCAATGTGAGCTAAAGAGTGATTCCTAAATTCCGTGTGGGGGTGTCGGGCCCACAGGAAATAAGGGGGACAAGGCAATATTTAAGTGGGTGGATTTTGAAGTCTTTGGATCAAAATTGGACAGCTATGGTGATGGATGAATATGCTCTGATGTGAGAATATATATGGAGAGGCTCATATTTTCAAAAAACTGACTTACCTCTAATTCTTATTCATAACAGCTTCACTCCTGTGCCAAATCTTATTTCTTTACTGTGATTATGTTAAAAAGTGTAATGCTTATTGAAATGTTCAAACAATTTGCTCGGTTTTTTATGACTTGAGAATTGTTTAACTTTTAACTAATATTTTGTTCATGCAGATTTCTCCTGAGGATATACAATGGGAAGGCGAAGACCCTGGAATTCCTCACAAAGGGGGTTTCGGCCGATCAGGTCACGGAATGAATAGACCTGTTGGGCGTGATGGTGGTCCAGGTGCCGGAAGAGGTAGGGGGGTGACCAAAGGTCAAACGAGAAAGGAATTTCCACCGTCACAGAATGGCATAGGAAAGAAGGGTCCAGATGATATTCAGTTACTTCACACTGATGCTCTAATAAAGGAGGTAATAACAAGCACCTGGATTGATACAAATAATGTTAGCGTTTCCTGTAGTTCATTCATCTGGTCAATATGCGCAGGTGGAGAGGGTATTTGGCTCTAGTCATCCAGATCCTCTTGAAATAGAGAAAGCTAAGAAAGTGCTGAAGGTTAAAAAAACTCAATAGTTTGCAACGCTGAATCTTCTAATTGTTTTTTTATTGGTTGAGAGGGCTTATTAGTCATTCTTTGTGATGCAGGAACATGAACAAGCGCTTGCCGATGCCATTGCAAGGCTTGCTGATATATCTGATGGTGAAAGTGGTACAGACTAATTTAATCTACAATGATTTTACCACTAAAAGATCATATGCTTAAATCCAATCATGCTGTTAGTCATTTGAAAATTATGATTGTACCAAGTGTCTCAAGCCACAAGAAAATTTGGGTTTTCCAACTTAAGATTGGTGAAGTTTCGTGAAAATCTCTTAGTGTCGCTGCCTTGATAAGCTCTTGAAGGAGATTGTTTTAAAAGTGAAATGCCAGCCTAATTTGCATTTAAAAGGCAATATTTTGGATGTAACTTACATTTTACTGTGGTTACAAATTTGGTAAGCTAACCACAAGGGTGGTGCCTGATTGGTTTGAGCTTGACTCCAAAGGTCAAAAGTACCAGGAGGTCCCATGTTCAAATCCAAGGAGGAATAAAAATCCCCTTGTGGCTACGGAGGTTCAAATGCGGTGACTCCAGGCTATCTGCAAAGCAGGTGGTCGCCCTGGGATTAGTGGGCTCGCATAGCGGATTGGATATCCAGGTTAATAAAAAAAAATTGGTAAGCTAGATATTCTAGCATCAGAAATTTGCATGACCTTGTTATAAAAATGAGGAAATCTCAAGTTCTTCTAGTCATTCTTGTCATAACTATTACTAGGCTGTATATTGAGCCTTAATTTACAGATCTCTCCTCCCCACAGCTTTTGATGTGCATTCGTGCTCCAATATGTGCATTTACGTCCTCTAGGTTTGCAAGTCTCTTGAGTCTATATGGTGGCCGCTTATATTTCTACCTGCTTAGGATGTACTTGAAAGCCACAAAAATGTTTTTTTTTTACTTTGTGACGTCTATATGTAGCTACATCTCTTGTTAAAAAATACAATAATTTCATTTGAGTGAATTGGCCATGACATGTTAACCAACCTCCATGCTTTCAAAAATGCAAAAAGAAAAAAATATGCACGTGACAGAATGTGCAAAATGTTGGCAAACAAGAATGATGGTCATTTTGCTCATTGTTTCTAACTACAAATTGCTAGTTATAATGTTTTTCCCCTTTCTACATTTATAAAAGTATATTGGTTGGTTAACACAATTTTGTCACCCCGAACTTATTGCATCCTGTTTGTCAATCAGCATCATTACATATTGCTGGTGGTATTGATTTTGGTAGACAAGATTCCCCTGTTATGCCAGTTATTGAAGGATACGTCGAACATTGGAGAATTCTCTTAACATGCTTATTCCTGTTTAGGATGCAGATAACTGTCATTGTTCATTTGGGGTAGAAACAGGTCTGCGTACATTCCACCCCCAGACCTGCTTCTTAGTGGGATATACTGGGTTTGTTTGGTTTGGTTTGGTTTGGTTAACTGTTGCTTCTGTTACAGATGAAGGTGGTCGGTTCTTGCGTGGCCAGCCAATGGATCGAGAATGACGAACAGATTCACATATGGGAGTTAGTGTAGCAGATTCTAACGGCAGTGGCCTGAGATGTGGAACCCGTGGAAGGCAAGATAGGTTTGTGCCACGTAGACGTGTTTTTACAAAGATGGGGGTGACACATTGAAAATGAAGGATTCTATAGAAGGGAATTGTTGTAAAATGGCATAATATCTTCAGGTTACAAAAGTTACTGCTCATAATGTGTAGTGGTAAATTGGTAAAAGTAGTCTTTGGGTTATAATTTATGGGGTGGGAAAGGGGTAGTTTGGTTATTTTTTATGTTGGGTTGTAGAAATTAATGTGCATTTTTTTTTTTTTTGTTGATTTGAAAGGTTTCTATGAGCATGGGCTTGTGATCTGTGTTTCTGGTCTACTTTTTAAGGTCAAACACTAGTACATTTTTTGTAGAGAAAAGGTAGAAGGAAAATCTCATTAGAATTCCCCCCTTTAGGATAATTCATTGGGACAACAGTATTCTTCTATGAACCTGGAGATTCTTTTCATCTTAGTCCCTGTGGTTTGGTGGTTATAACACTTTTGGTCCCTACAGTTGTGAAATTACAAGCTGGCCATTGTGGTTTGCAGTAGAGACAGGGTTTGGCCTTTGCTTCTAACAGCCATTAAACCATCGTTAAATCAGGACTTTTATCTATTTTTCTTTAACAACTAAATAAATATGTAAATTATAGGGACTTGCTCTAATATGCATATTGTAACCTAACTCCTTAGGGGGCCTTGGGTCGTCGATCAGAAGTTAGGTTTGGACAGAGATGTTTTGTTAATGAATAAATGAACGAGATGGCATTTTCTTTTTTGATATCAAACCCCTAATTCCCGATCAAAGTTTAGGCATAGTGTTGGTAATTTTCTTCATGTTCTAGATCTTTTCATTAACGTCTGCTCCTCAATTCTCGATCTTCATCTAAGAAAAAGAATATAAAAATGAATTGTATGAAGGATATTATTTTCTATTTACATTTAAAAATGAGAGAATATATGCCTTTCACTTAACGAATTATTATGACAGTCGTTAGAGACAGGGACCAAATGTGGTCGTTTTTACAACCACAATAACCATCTTATAATTTTAAAACTAAAGGGATCAAAAGTGTTATAACCACCAAATCATATGGACCAAACTTGTTGTTTGCTCTAGGAAAAATAAAACACTTCCTATTTTTGGGTGAATTCAAATGATTAATTTGTAATTTAAATTATATTTAATCATTTGTAATTTAAAAGACTTGTAATGTCAATTCCCTTGGACTAAAAATTCATTGTTGTGTTTTGTTCTTATGAATTTTATGGTTAAGGGATTTGATCATATATCGATAAATGTAACATATAACATCACCATCCTTGTCGCTCCATTGCGTTATTGTTCTCGCTACCTCATCGCCGTCACCTGTTGTTGCTGCCTTCATCACCGTCATCATCAATTAATATTTATCTTTCCACCAACCATCATCATTGGCTTGCCACCGCCATTGTCATTGTCATAACCGCCAGCTCCACACCCACAAACCCCACAAACTAGCACCATCATACCACTACCATCGCCGTAATAATCTCCACCAATCCCACCACCCGCCTCTAATGTGGTATATTCCATTTTGATTCATGCCAACCAAATGTATGGCCAAATTTCGTTCCAATTTCTTCAAAGTCAATTTACTTTGGTAAATTCTAATTTTACCAAATTTCATTATGTGAAACAAATGCTCCCTTAGTGATATTAAAATCCAATTTCTTTTAAAAATTATTCATATTTATGTTATGTTACGGAAAAAAATGATAATTTAACATGGACAAATGGCAATCCTGTTGTAAATTTTTACTAAAATTTCTTATAAATATTTATGTCAAATTACCAATATCCTGTTTAGTTTTATGAAGGGGATGTTTATCAAACGCTTACTCGGGTAAGTGAACACCAAGTCTCATTTAAATGGGGCCATGTTTAGCCTCCAAATTTGCCGGGGATTAGTCGGGCTTTGGCCCGGACACCCTTACAAAAAAAAGTCTCATTACCTTACCGGATGAATATGGTAAGGACCAAAAATCTTACCCGGTAAGAGCGAGACAAAGACCAATAGTCTTACCCGATAAGTGAGGGCAACGACTCCTACCACGCTAAGCGCTTACTCGGTAAATTGTTGTATACGATATCGTTTTGATGGACAAAAATCTTACCCGACAAGTAAATGATATTGTTAATTTTACCAATAAACGCTTACCGGATAAGTGTTTGATAAACGGGCCCGAAATATTTTTGAGGGATATGTATTTTAGGGAAGGATTTAGAATTGAGATGATTTTGAGTTGGAAGGATTTGGAACTGAGATGATTTTGAGTTGAAAAGATTTGGAAACTTTGGTGTGTTTGTTTTGTAGGATTTGAGATGAAATTGAATTTTATTCTTTATAAATAATTTATAAAAATAATTAAATTATATTTTTATGGGATTTCTAAATCTTATGTTTATGGGATTTAATAAAACCCATGATTTTAGTTTCAACTTTCCTTTAAACCAAACGCGAGATTTAAATGTAATTATTTATGCCAAAATTTACACAAGTGTAAATTAAGGTTTGGATTGCAAGACTAATCAACTAAAGATATAACCTTCGAAATAAACAAGCCAAACGACGTCGAAAAGTAAGCGGGGCAAGAGATTTTGATGAAGCCGAAAACCCCGTCGAGGGTATTAATCGCGGACGAAAATAAACGTCATCGGTGCACTATAAACGTCAAACAACGACGTCATCCTTAGTAACAAATATTACAAGGATTGGTCGTGGGAAACCACGATGTGTCATGTGTAAACTAACAAAGTAATAACAAATGTGGCGTTTGTTTTTTAAGAGGTGCTTAAGTCTGAAGTCTGAATTCACTTCTGAATTTTAAGGGGTGGTGCTGAAGTCTGAAATCTGAATCAGTCAGACTGTTTGTTTTTCGTCTGAAATCTGAAATCTGAAATTTGAAACATTGAAATTTAGGCTTTCTTTGCAAGCATTGGAAGCTCTAAAAGCAATTAAGAGGTTTTAAGTGAAAATGTTACCTCTAAATAATTCAGACATAATCAGAGCTTTTAAGCTCTTAATTGAAAAAAAAAAAACAAACACACTTAAACATAAGAGGGTATTAAGTGCTTTTTAGGTAAAAACAAACGGGGCCGAAGTCTTTGAAAATGTCTTGAACAACGCTCTTCTAATGATGATTTGCATTCTTGAGAGCATTCAACAGTAGATGAATGTATTCAACTGTAGAGTCGACTAAATCTTCTTGTCCCCTTGCTCGAGTTTTCTTGATCTGTTTATAGTAGCACGGGTAACCATCATCACAATCTAAAATACTTATACATAAAAATACGAGATACAAATTTTATGTACGGTTATTTGTCTAGATAGCAAGGGTTTTGCCAGTTCTTTTTATAAGGTTGTTATGCCTGGACTAATCCCGATAAATTTTGACTGCAAAAATTCAGTCCTGGTAAATCCAGTGACCACAATTGATGTGTATGTCTGAAATAAAACTCTGGACAAATGAGATGTTTCAGTAGTTTTTCTGTATGAAAAACATCTAAGTCCTAAAATATTGGAATAATTGGACTGGATTTTACTCGAAAAATTGGTACTGTAAAGAACGGTTATTCAGTTAAAGAACAATCTGACCAACCAATGATTGGCTTTTCCTTATTTTGTTTAATACAACTGTTCTGGATTGCTTGTTTTAAGTTGTAACCATGGTCATGCTTCAACTATGGGAGTGTTTGAGATTGTTTATTTGAAACAATTTATATTTTTCTATAAAAACACTTATCAATTTATTATAAGTCAGAAGAGTTTAACTTTTTCAAAAACTTCTTATTACCGGTTTGACATCAATATAAGTTATTTATCTAAACACTCAAAAATACTTATTACCGGTGTCCCACTAAAATAAATCAAAAAATTGTTTTTATAAGTAATCTCAAGCACCCCGTATGTTGGATGATAAATTTTTCTTGAACAAATAAAATCAATCAAAATATTTATAATTTTTAATAAACTAAGAATTTGGTCAATGTGGTTTGCTAAAAATAACACTTTTAGTCCTTATGGTTTTAGAATTATAAATCACGATCACGGTTTACAAAAAATTTCAGGTTTAATCTTTTCTTTTAATGACCGTTAAAAAAAATTCATTGAATGAGAGACATTTTTGTCCTTTTATCAATATTTTGTCTTTTACTCAATCAAAAACTACAGGGTGCAAAATTAAAAAAAAATTAATTTTGATTGAATAAAAGACAAAAAAATCGATAAAAAAACAAAAATGCCTTTAATTTAATGGAATTTTTTTTAACAGTTTTAAAGAAAGAGACCAAAACGAGATGTTTTTAAAAATTATGATGACAATCTTATAATTTCAAAACTCCACAGATGAAAATTGTTATTTTCTACCGACCACATGAACCAAATTTGTAGTTTACTCCAATTTTTTCCTTACAGTTTTATGTTAAAAAGGTTGCCTACAAATATAACATTTTCGTTTTTCCCAAAACAATAAAAAAAAGGATTCTATTATTCATTATCATTATAAATTAATCATTCGATCATTTTTACAACTCCTTTTGCTTTAAAAATATGTGATTATTATATTTTTTAATTAATAAAAAAAAAATTTATCCTTAATTATAAAGAGAAAAATTCTCCATCTTATAATTAAAGATAAAATAAAAAATTAAATACTTATTTTAAGATAAACTAAAATATTAATATTTTTTTTTGGAACAAAGGAAGTAATAATAAGTTCATAAAGTTTAAAAAGAATTCATACAAATCTCTTATTTATTCATTCAGAAAGTTCATTTTTTTAACAGATCTCTTATTTATTCATTCAGTTTTAAATTAAGGAGCCGTTTATTAAACACTTACCCAGTAAGGTCTTACAGGTCATTTATCTTACCGCACAAACATGACGAGGACCGAGAGTCTTATCCGGTAAGAGTAATGATATATGAAGAGTCTTATCCGGTAAGAGTAATGATATATGGAGAGTCTTATCCGGTAAGTGAGAGTGACAATTCTTACGCAATAAATACTTACCGGATAAATTATTACATACAATACCGTTTGATGGACTACAATCTTAAACAATAAAGTAAATTAGAATGTTGGCCCTACCAATAAGTGATTTAAGCGTTAGGCGAATAAACCTGGAATTTAATTTTGACGTGTAAAAACTGAAAAAAAAAAGAAAAAAGAAAAAGAAAAAGGGGATTAGAATTGGGAAGGGACGCCAAGGGCGGGCTCGAATTGGGAAACTTAACCAAATCTGAATCCAAAATTTTCAGTTCCGCCAAATCCCTTCTTTCCTTGCAAACCCTAGGGTTTTTCTTATTTCCAGCTCCACCAAGATTTCTCCTTTCTTTCTGGACCTGCGTTTTCATTCGCTTTCGCCAACTTTTTTGGGGTTAGATCTGAAAGCAGAATGGATTTTGGTGGACGAAAGAGAGGCAGACAAGATGGCGGTTGGAATGGAGCACCTAAGAGACCTAGAGACGGTTAGTTGTCTTTTTTTCATTGCTATCTTAATTTCCTCTTCTAATACCTGCCATTAGAGTTTATCAAGATCTGTATGTGTTTTTTCGTCTAAACATCAAATTCCATTCGGAGTTATGATTTCTGTTTGTCAAGATTATTTAGGGCTATATTTCCTGTTCTTCCACTTTTGCTCTTTATTTAAGTTAGGGTTCCAATGTTTTCAATCCTATGGAATCGGTATTCTTATACAAAATAATTTTGAATAAGAAATGAAACTGAACACATTGGTGGTATAATGATGATTTTTTGGTTATGGTTACGAAATTATATATATGTATTTCAATATTTTTGCAGACAAGTATGTTGAAGTTGTTCTTTTATTGGAGAAAACACTTAGTTTGTTCTCATTATTCCTGAGTCAATAACTAGAATGAGCAGGGAGTGTGATAACGGATATGGGTATAATTTATTCCATTAATTACTAATCATTGTTAATATATGGTTATCAATTTTAATAATGTGGTGAAAAATTAGATTTTCTTTGAATTTTAGATGTTCTTAAAAGTTTGTTAATTGGCAGAAGGTCATTCAAATACTTAACTGAAACAAAGTAATTAATTTTCTGCAACAGAAACGGAGTCCTTTACACCTGGTGTAGGAAGCAAATCAAAGCCGTGCACGAAGTTTTTCAGGTTATAATCTTAACTTATACAAGACAAATACAATATAATTGTCTAAGTTTAAGTTCTAATGTGAAGCTTGTACAACATCTAAATACACCATCTGATGCAATTTGGGAGCAATATTGTAAACCATGTTGGGTGCAGCTGAAGTTTCGATATCGGTTATTGTTCAAGGATTAGTTTTGTAAAAAGGCTACTTGGTAACAGTTCCTATTATTCTACCAGAGTACTATTTAATATAAAATATAAACGTAATTGAAAAGCTGCTATCTGGTGATGTTACTTTCTTGAAGCTTGAAGCTTGAACCTTTGTTCCGGAGGTTAATCACACTCATCTGGTTAACATACCATGTAAAATAAGCATTATGATTTTGTGGACTGGAGCAATATTTTATATCTATGATTCTTATACTAATTCACCCGTAATGTTTTCTTGGCATACATGTGATATATAGTTATTTTGCTTGTTCTCATTGGGAAAGTAAATAGTAGTGATAAGGTGAATTTTAATCTTGTATTCTCGATGGTTTTGCTGATATTTTGTGGATGTGCCACTGTAGAGGTTATTTGGGTGATATTTGATGTGATTCATAGCTTTATGTCAAAATCTACCATTACTGCATACAATATGCATGTAATGTATATGTAAGGCCCCTCTACTTCTAGAAGTTGTGGCCATCTTTCTGTAGGCTCTTTTACTTCTGTTAGTGACTTTAATGTACTTGGATATGTGTATTATGTATTGATAATTCTTATTGCAATAACAGTGTTATCAATGTGATGTATATAACTGATTGTACTAGTAACCAGATGCCTTTTACTAATTAAAGGGATTAACTACATAAGTTTGTACATGCATGTCTATATGTTATGTAGTAAATATGTACATGGCTCAAGTCTCTTGGGCTTAACTTGGTATTTATTAGAAAAGCTTCATGACAAAATTTGTATATTTCCAGGAATTGTATTTTCCAGATTCTTTTATTTTTCTTATTTTGTACATTGATAATTTAAGTGATTTTTCAAACTGATGGTTCTGTATTTCCATCATATATTGAATTTCTTGTTTTTAGTTGATGTTTATGAAGTCAATTCATTATGTGGAATTGTGGATGTTTGGGCTGTGAACCTAGATTAGGAGATGTCATTGACTGTACACTCATACATGCTCCCATGAAAAAAAGGGGGGTGGTGAGCTGACACATGATGGTCATTAGCGTCTTTTTCGTAGTAGTTAATATGGTTTGCGTATGATCAATACAATGGAACAGAGAAAATATTTTACCCACTAGGGCAAGCAGGTTCATGAGTTTTCTGGTCTTAGTTTGATACAGATATGTTAACTTGACCACCTTTTCCCCCAATCTCCTGCTATTGGTTTTTCATCATATGGCTGACTAAAACACCAAATTATACAAGTGCCGCATTTACCTTTAATCCCCTCAGTTTCTAAATGGCATGGCATGAGGTTGAGCCTTAAGCTTAGGAGCCACATCAAGGCCATGGCATTTGTAAGGCATGACTTGTGGCGGAAAATTTGTTATCATATATATACACAAACCTTTTCAACTAGTACTTTGATATAAGACAATATACGTGAGTGTTGTATACTAAAAACTAAAAAGCCAAAGAGGTAAAAGAAGGTAAAAAGTAAAAGAAAATGAAATAACACCTTACAAGAAACCCCCATTGGACCATGGTGTGCCATAAAGGTAACATGGCATCGGAGACGATGGTGTGTTTTTACAACATTGATGGCAACATATAGGTTTCAGGGCAAAGTTGTATGTTTTATTGAGTTTGATTGCATAGTTGAATTGGATTTGCACCTGGAGTGTTACTTGCAAAAAAGCGAGATCATACCTTGTTTGTTTCTTTCCACTTCCGAGTATGAGGAGAGTTGATGATTTTGGTGGCACCTGCTAAATATTGTTTTAAATAATATATGCTGTTTAGATGTTACCATATATTCTGGCCTGTCAAAGCTGTATTTTAGAACCTTAATGTCATGGCAGACCATGATCATGTATCTATAGAAACACAGGTTTCACCATTTTTTGGTTTCTCATGTTTGTGCTTTTGGGTGATGCAGCACTTCTGGTTGCCCATTTGGTGAAGGATGTCACTTCCTGCACTATGTTCCTGGTGGCTACAGTGCTGTGAAACAATTTACAAATGTGGGAGGTCCCCTTGGAAGAAAAGCTCCTATGCAGCAACCCTTTGCCGATGGTCCGGCCACTCCAGTCAAAAGCAAGCTTTGCAACAAAATCAACACCCCAGAAGGATGCAAGTTTGGAGATAAGTGTCGTTTTGCTCACAGTGAGGTGGAGCTTGGTAGTAAATCGTCTTTCCCATCTTATGAAGATTCCCGTGGTCAACCTGGCCCCATCAACTATGGTGGTGGTGGCGGCTACCAAGGGCGGATGGAACCGGCCCCACCTGGTCTGGCTGCTGCAGCTAACTTTGGTCAATCTGCCACGGCCAAAATCAGCATAGATGCGTCTCTTGCTGGGCCCATCATAGGGAAGGGAGGGGTGAATTCTAAGCAGATATGCCGTCTTACTGGGGTGAAGCTCGCTATAAGAGATCATGATACGGACCAGAATCAAAGGAACATTGAGCTTGAAGGAACTTTTGATCAGATTAAACAGGCAAGCGCAATGGTGCATGAACTAATCGTGAATCTTGGTTCTGGTGGTGGTGGTGCAAATGGTCCTTCGGCAAGAAAATCTGGCGGTGGTTTCCAGCAGCAGCAGCAGGGTGGTGGGATGGGACATGGTGGTGCAAACAAAATCAAGACGAAGATGTGTGAGAACTTTGCGAAGGGACAGTGTACCTTTGGAGAGAGGTGTCATTTTGCACATGGACCGAATGAGCTTCGTAGGTAGGCAACTCGCTACTCGGATTTGGTGCTGTCATTTCTCACCCAAATAACCACCGATGTCGTCATGAATATTGTTGTAGGAAAGCAGTTTGTGGTAAAACAGGAATTATTTTAGGAACTTTGATATTCATTTAAGTTTTGGTAATTTGTTTTTTGCTACTATCTTTTTCTTTATTACACATTCTAAAAAGAAAAGGGTTGGACTGCCAACTGCCAAAATTATGGGTGTGTTTTCTTTATTGAGGATTTTATGTGGCACTCCAATGTCTGATTCTATATTGTTAAAAACTACATGGATGTTATTCCAAGTAGTTTGTGTTTTTTTATGATTTGAGTTCATGGTCAAACCTGTGTTGATTTTGGTAAATCATATGGTTTTTTGTTTTAAAATTACAATGGCAGGTTCTTGTGTTTTGGTTTTCAAGTCTGGTTAAGGTTTCTTTCTCGTTTTGCCTGTATGGAGATTTGATGGACTATCTAATAGCATTATGGGCTCTTTTCTTATAGCTTAATGGTCTGTATGACTTATTTGCTTAACAATATAGGAGTATTTTTTTTACTTGCTTAATCGATAAGCCATTAAGCCAAAATGGTTATATTATATGGAACAAGTCTCAAACCCATCGGTCTTCCTGTCCTTCTGACTTAGATAATCTAGCAGGCAAGTAGATGGACTTTGTTGTTGACATTCTAACAAATACTTGCAAGGAAAGGTAGTGTTAGCTTATTTATCCCTTAAAAAGGTAATAAATAAGCTAGTTTTTACATCAATCCTTTTTTGGTTCGAACTTCTCTAACTATTTCCATTATCCTACATTCTTCATAAAAACCACAAAGCTTAAACAACATTTTCAAAGACATTGAAGTTGTTTCAAAACATGATCCTACCGTCGGGATCTTGGAATAATGTGTATCTTGTCAAAGATAAGTCAAACTGTTAATAGTAACTCAGACATTTAATTGTTACATATACTCTAAATACCAAAACTCATACAGGATAATATCAATGATAACAAGCAACAGATATGGAGAATCTGACCAACGCCATAGAATAAACTATCGGTCCGAGGTCATTACCCAATTCCCGCTTGCAATTCTCTCAAAAACGCGTGGCAACTTTGAACGAAAGGTTTCTCTCCAATCCGGATGTTGTATTAGATACTGCCATATCCTGAAACATGATTTCCCTTAACAACATTTAACCAAATATAAGGTTTCAAATAACAACCATTCTCATCACTAATCTTGGTATACAAAAGTGAGGTGTGAAATGAACAGACTACAAATACCATTTGCCACTTCATATACAAAGTCTAGAAAAGAAAAGGCAGAGACAAGGATGTTTTGAAAGATAAAAATTTTATCAGTTGAAGTTTGTTCTATTTCCTACTTGATGTATTAAACTTTTTTTTCTCAATAAATGTAAAAGAGTTTCAAATTTTCTATTTCGTATTCATTTTGACCAGTAACCTACTAATACCAATGTTGTACATTTGATGACATGGATGCTAAGTTATATTGGTTTGAGAAAAACATAATGGTGGATTAGCTGGTTACCGGTCAAAAACACGCTGACCGACAATTTGACATCAGCATCATCAAATGTTACGATAGGTACCGGTCAAATGAGTATAGAAAATAGAAAATTTGGAACTTTGTTACATTGATTTAAGAATAATTTGCTCCACTCAATTAAAACGAAGCCAAGCTTTGTTGCGTTTGTGCTAATTGAAACAGTAATTTGCAGGTATATCATATCAAAATTCTGATTGGAACTTGAATGATTAAAGATAGAAAGAGCATTGGACATTTGGACCTCTAAATTCGCATACCTGAGTACAAGAAGATATCTGTAAGAAAATGTACCTTTTATGATTATGAACAAAATCTGGGCCCTCAGCAGAAGGTGATGTTGAAGCAACAACGAGAATTTCCGTATCAGAATAGTGTCTCATCATCATGGCAATATGTACTACATCCATGCTCCTAGTTTAATATCAACAAATAAGTTGATACAAGAATAAGTTATTTCCTTAGCAATTCTGTTTGAATTTAAAATGCAATTAGAGACCCATAATTTATACATATATTAGTATTGCGGATATACACAATGAAGAAATCTCCAGGCGTGCTTAAAGGAGACTGGACTCCAGTTGTAAATATTGAGTAGCTTTGTAGATGATCAAGGAGTGACATTGATCAAAAACTGAAGAAACTAAGGGGCCGTTTACCAACACAGATAGGAAGTGCTAACTGGGTAAGAGTGCGATCTGGGTCAGGACTAACCACTGACCGAGTAAGAGTCCCTCCCTTCGCTTACTAGGTCAACATCATAGACTGGTAAGAGGGGCTTGGTAAACAGCAACATCTCTGACCAGGGCGGTAAGCAGGTAGTAAACAACCCCTAAGAGTGTGTTTCAAAGACCTGGAATAAGTGAGAAGAGCATTGAACCTTAGAAGTTTGAAAGTTCTGGAGGGAATCTTTGAGAGAGCAACTACCTCAAGAAATAAGAGTGTGAGGATATTAGAGCTGGAAGAAAGAGAGCATTGGTGTATGCAGAAGAGTGAGCTTATCAATCTTACGAGAGAAAAAGGTTGAATCTTGGTAAACAATAAAAAACAACCCAGTATTGAGTTACTACGTGAAATATAACGTCTTCAGTTGGCGATTTGAGAAATTGAACTTAGTGAAAATGCCGCTAATCCTATCTGCGGCAAAAGTGGTGGTGGGATGCATTGTCTCCGAACTGAGCGTTGTTCTCATTGTTTTCTGCACATATTTACTTGCTTATTTATCCTTATTACTCGGTTTTTATGCTACAAGTTGCTCGCTTCCTACAAATATCTCTAAAGATACACCATGCGTGGAAGTCAATGAATGACGAATGAAGAGCACGAGTAGGAAATCAACATGCGTGGAAGGGACCGATGTTTAAACTGATTGTTGCCTGAATCACCTAATACGATGCGTTAACTAAAACAAAACCCAGGACGAAAACAAAACCCGCCATAAAAATAGCTATCTCGACTGCTATTTCTAGTTCAGTTTGCGGTCAATAACGCCGCTCGCGGGACAGATATTTGACCACCACGATTTATCTAGGGAATGCGAACTGCTATTGCACCATGATTGACCCTACAACTCTATGATAATGTTTCCTTTGCTTGTTTGCACACATGCTCACTTGTAGCTCACTCTCTTGTTCCTTCTTTTTAAGTCAGGGGTCTTCAAGAAAACAGCCTCTTGACCGCTTGGGTAGAGGAAAGATCTGATTACATCCTCCCCCCCCCCCCCCCAAAAAAAAAAAAAAAACCTACCACTACGAGGGATTTACTGGGTTTGTTTTGTTTGGTTTATCTTTACAAACAGTAGTATTCCTGACCACTAAATACCCTTTAAAATACAGCTTCTTTACACTGCTGTCATCTTTAAAAATCCAGAGCAGAAAACTCAAGCTTGAAAAGAACAAATTTTTTGTTAAGTAAAGCTATTCAACCCCTCTCCCCCACTAGACTACATCTTGGCCCCATACAGCAATATTTAATCAAGACAAAACTTTAGGTCATGTAAATTAGTTTAGTTCTACTAGTTTATCCTTTTGTGAATGTGGATATATTACTACCCACTACATTGAGCATTTACTAATTACTACTATACTGTCTTCCATAATTCATTTTCAAGTTTAGAATTAAAAATGACATTTTCCAAGGCCTTCAATTTGCATGGTTGTAGATAATTACTTAAAAATCATTTGCAATTGAATCCAACCAGATTAAAAAAAAACTAATATGAAGAGTGAGCAACAGTTGAACAGGCTGGAGTGCATAATAAGTAGAGAAACCAAAATTAACTCATTATGCTATGATTTTGGTGCATATTGATGTAACTATGTTAAAAACAATGGCTCCAAACAGAAATAGGAAGACCAAATTTACCAAGAAAATGGGGCGATGACAAATCGGTCAGTTTGAGTTTCATATGTCTCTAGTAACCGGCCAGTACATCCAGGGTCCTTAAAGGAAGCACCTAATCGAATCCTCCTGATGATTTCATCTGGACATCTTGTACTTCTATCGAAACTGGCTGGGACGACTGAACCACAGGATGTCTCCACCTGAGAACGACTTGTTAGAGAATTAATAACCTGACTGTCGATATACATATAATTGAAGCTCAGTAATTTTTTAGGCACTTGCAAGAATGATTAATGCATAATTGTGGGAATAACGTTGCTTCTTGAATCCCGTTGTTCATTGGTTCTTGGGCTCTTTGGATCTAATAGCGAGATATCAATGTGAATTTAGTTCACTCAATGAGTAAAGGAGAAAACAACTAACCGCAAGGCCGTGGAAGATTGGATTTGCATTTCCCTCAGAGTCCCATCTTGTGTTATTCTTAAGCACTTGAAAATTTTGAATTTGGAAGTTCACTTTGCTCTCTGCTAATTTTTCTACTATTTTGATACACAGCTGGAAAGAATATCCTTCCATTTCCGAATGCTGTTTGGATCTAGTATCATCATTTCCCTGTGAAAGAAACGTAAAAAAGAGTGGAATTTAATTCTTTCACCTGTGAATCTTTAAGACCTCGCTCATTTTCTATTCTCTGGGATCAGATTTTTACTTTTGAGTGAGTTAGCCATATCTTACACTTGAAATGTTGGAGTAATATATGGCCAAACACTTCCCATAAAATATAAAAAGAGTGAGGCCAAACTACACATCCTTTAATTCAAAGGCAAGTAGAGGCTGGTTGGACCAGACTTGAGTAGCAGAATCGTCAAATGCACCAACTAGATGAACCTGCATTGCAGTGCAGATTTTAACTAGACATTAAATACTAAGCAAGTTTAAACCATCAAATGAAAAATCGAAGCTTTTTAAAGATACAAGGATGTAGAATAGTACATCCAAAATAGCATCATCATGATCTGGAACTAATGACAACATCTGGGAGAGGCCAATATCAACAACATCTGGAGAATCCATATGGGCAATAGATGTCCTACAGTCATGGTAACCACCCTTCAGAAGTTTCGAATTGATAATGACTAAAAATTAGTTAAGATAATGGAGATGCTAGCTTCTGAAACATGGATTCTTACATGCCATTTTTGCAATTCCTAACCACAATGCCAACGCAGGTTGTTGCTTCATCAGTGCCAACAATCTTCATGATGAGGAGACAAAAGAAGATCAAATTTTAAATAGTATAAAGCTTCAAAAAGATAATTTTTTTCTTAATAATGCCCTTCCATTTTCACATTTTAAGGAAAATAATAAATGCTCATTATAATCTATATTTCCTATACAAGGCAACATACTATTCCCATCGTGATGAACATGGTCAACTCGGTTCCATAAAACATAAAGCAAATGGAAAATATGAAACCAAAATAAAGGAACCTTACGTGCAAGGAAACAACCATGTCACAAGGATTAACATAAGAGGATTACGTACAAGGGATTCTTTCAATCAAGCCAGCAGAAAGTTGAACTTTCATATGCTTCAATGAAATGGTGGTGATACCATTCAAGCTAACACTTGCAGAAATATGACTATAACCGCACAATGACCAGCACACATACTAGCAAACTTGGGGGAAATTGACTGAAATAGCCAATCTCTCCACCACACTTCACCTTTTAGCCACATTTTCCAATCAATTCCCAAACTAGCCGTTCTTTACGCAAATGCGTGCTTTCTTTACACATTTTTTAATGCAAAGGCCTATTTTTCTTTTCTTTTTAATAAAAAAAATGTGGTTTACGCAAATGCGTAAAACATTTGCGTAAAAAATCGCTAGTTTGGAAATTGGCTGAAAATGTGGCTAAAAGGTGAACTGGGATGGGGCAAATTGGCTACTTTAGTCAATTTCCCCAAACATAGGGGCCATTTACCAAATGCTTACCGGGTAAGCGCTCACGGGCAAGAGTCACCACCCTCACTTACCTTATTGGGAACATTTTCGGCTATCAAAATGAATTTTTGGCAAGCATATTTTACCCAATAAGTGCTTACCGAGTAAGAGTCTTCTCCCTCACTTATTGGCTAAGATTCCTTCCTATGCCTCTTTTCAGGTAAGATTTTCGGCCCTTGTCATGCTCACCCGGTAAGGTGAGTGATACCTGATAAGCGCTAAACAGCCCCTCAGTCAATCACCACAGTGGCAAGTGAGGACTTCCTTTTGGACTTCTATAAATCAATTTAATTTAATAATTGCACTGGCTACAACTAGTAGCTCAAACTTAAGTACCTATAAGACCATCTATCAAATTTATCATGAAATTTGAGCTTCCTAACAGATACTATGCACCAAATAGGAGATCCCACAGGTTACTAACAGTGCTTCACAAAAATCATTGACACGCTTCATTCTAGAAAGTGAAGTTTCTTTCATGACAAAGTAAAGTATAGATCTTTTTCTTCTGAAGCTTTATGCTGAGCGTGGGATAGTTTTAACTGATAGATACACATTCATGCTGTAAAAGAAAAGTGGACCTACATTTAGAGAAGTACAGATTAGTACATTTATGGACATCTCATTTCACTGACTAAATTGCACTTCTATACATCAACAAATATGTGGCAATTGGTGAATAAAAGGTAGATTAGAAGATCATGGCAATTAATAGCCCAAAAGTAGAAAACTACTTTTTTGGGTACTAGCCAGAACAGAATGTGCAAGTCTTTGTAAGAAAGAGAAAAATGTTTGAAACGGGAGCAATTCCAATCAAAGAAGGAACAGGTTGAATAAATGGGAAGACATAATAAAAGAATACCTCCACAAGTGCAGGATCTGCAATAGCATATTCTCTTTGAAAGACATACACACATGTGGGTTCCGCTGAGCCCTGTGACCCAGATTCTTCAGAAACCGAGAACTTCCTTTCTGGTACAGCACGGAATGATTGTGAAGCAGATACCAAATGTGGGTGCTCCAATAAAGCATTTACCATGTCAAGGCCCTACTCATTAGGGTAAGTTTTGGTAGCAATAAAATACATAACATATAAAAGTTCTTTAGAATAAATAAGCCATCAAGACAAGCATTAGACATTCTCAATAACCAAATTTCTGCATCAAACTACATATCTGAGAGAAATGAGCCTACTTAATTACTTAAATCCACCTTCTTCTAGGATATTGTAACATGTTGAAAAAGATTATGCCAGTGAGGTTACAGCATATAACTCCCAAATCCTTCAGCCTAAAGTATATATTACACCATAACATGCCATGTCAATGAAGAAACACTGGGACTCTAGTTTCAAACTTCTATAAAGACCAAATGGGTTGATAATCAGTTTCTTCAGTAGCACATGTCTTCCAAAACCTAACCAACTCCAACTATTTCGTATGGGCTAGACTTGTATAAAGTTATCCAACCACCTCGTTTCAAAGAATAGGTATGCTCTGGGTTTTTGTGAAAATAGGCTATTCTGAAAATCACAAATCAATGTGAAATCTTAAAAGTTTGCAATAGATAAGTACTAATATTAATAATATCCCATGTTGTTGGAGGATAGAACAACCCAGAAAAACAATGAATAAAACTTGGATAAAACCGTGAGATTGCATAAGAGTTTGTTTTCCTAAAGGTGTATTTCGACCTTAATTTGTCAGGGTATCACGAAACCAACTCGAAGATAATCTCAGATTTCAGTCAATGTTTCTAAATTAATGCCGAGAATATCTCCCCATAACTGGAAATGATTGTTGGAGTACTTAGTGGGCGGTTAAATGGACAACAGTTACAAACTGCACACAGATCAAAATTCAAAAGACTTCAGAGCTTTTGACTCTTCAGAGTTAGAAGCCCTTCAGGATCAAAAGCTCCGAGTCAATACCAGTTCAGAATCAGAAGCTTCTGAACAAGACTCAGAGGCTTTTGAATTTCACTCAGAAAATTTCAGAAACTTATTTTCCCCGATCACTTCTCTTTCATAAAATCCATAGATTTGAGTTTTGCATGCCAAGGGCGCTGCCCCCTTGACCCCGTCAAATGGCGCCATCCAGCAATTCCGGGTTCAAGTTAGCTTACACAAATGTGCCGAAGTGCGCTCCACACCTCCTAACCCGTGATATCGCTTAACCATCAACCCCATATTCTCTTGGTGAATTAATTCTTAAAACCAGTGTTCTTAAGGCCAAAGAGTTGGCAGAAAAAGGGGGAAATTTTTATTTTTTCTAGGCATTTCACCTCGAAATACGAAATTGTAATATACTAGGTATTAAAAATAAAAAAAATAGCAATAATAAAGAAATAAGTGGATTTCATCGTTTCTATGGTTACTTCTGAAACGGTGAGGTCTTCTCTATACACCGGAGCCTTCACTTCATCTAATCAATGTTATTGCTAGCTTGTATAGTTCACATTCATCGGTCTACCCATGACTTATCATTCAATTACTTAAAATGAACCAATGATTTCACTAAAAACCAGCACATCACTCATGAGAAAGCATCATTTCAATCTTCTATGTCAAACCTGCTACCTTGCAAATGCAAAATTAAACAGATATGTCACATACGTAACACCTATATTATTCAACTAGTATTGCTAGTTATAAACTAGACGCTGTTGGTGTTTATCCTCTTCCTATTCCAAATTTCCAAAGTCCAAGTACCTCTCTCTCTGTTCTTCTTCTCAAGGGAGTATTACACATTACAAAAGTACTACAAATATTCAATGAAAACGGAATTAAATTTGACGAAGAATCGTTGTGAAATTGGCATTTGAGAAGTACTACAAAAAAGACATATACAAGGTCAAAATTTTCAAAAATAATTCCCCTCTGCAACTGCTCAGATCATCAAAACAGAATCTGAAATCATAGATCATCTAATTTCAGTCGGTTCACCAATTAAACATACAGGCTGATTTTAACATAAAAAACAACCAATTTTTCTGCCTAATAGTCAGAAAAAAACTCGTTTCACGAATAATGCTGTATCAAATAGGAGAAAAAACATGAAAAAATGTAGATTGCAAACGAAAAATTACCTCGACTGAAGATGAATCTGACGGAAATCGAACTCCATTAACGTAAATCATGATCTGAACGACAAAAGTAGTTGGATCTTCTATGACCGGCCTTGAACACCACCCGTCTATACGCTTTAAAGTCTAAACACTGAGATTTGAACGAGTCCACTCTCGTCATTGTCACCCCGGTAGAATTGGGTTTAAGTACTCGCGCGTCTTACGTTATATATTTATTTCAAGTTGAGCCCCTTAAGTTATGGTTATCACATTTGAACACCAAAAAGTTAGTAAATTTCATTTTCATCCTAATTGTGTAAATCTAAGAATCTAACATTATGTCAAAACTAGGACTGCACATGGATTGGGTTGACCGAATTGAAGGCATTTAAACAACCTAACTCAATGTTTGCAATCTCAATTCAACCCAACCTAATCAAAACTACAACACAACCCAACCTAACCCAAACCATGCGGGTTAGGTTGGGTTGATCGGGTTGAAACTTTGGTATATCATTTTACAATCTAGCTAATTGTTTGTGATTAAAAGAAGTAAAATAAAAATAAGAACATACAGAAAATGCTTAACAAACTCAAAAAAATTGAAGGTTCATGCGAATAAGAAAGTAAAATTACGATTGAAATTGTAATATAGCTAACTACAGGTTGGTTTGATGTCTGTTGTACATATATTAAATCAATAAGTTAATAATCATATTAAATTCACAGTATAAAAAGACATCGGGTTCATCGGATTGGGCTGGGTTAAAATTACCCAAACCCATTTCCAACCCAATAAATGCGGTTTGGCCTAATTTTGTATCAACTATGTGTCAGGTTACATTGGATTGAGTTTTTTTAGATTTTTTCGGGTTAGGTCTCCTTTTTCACCATGTTCACTAGCTCCTTCTGCAACAATGTTTACTCCTTCACAAATGTTCACCCATTCGGTTTCATATCCACTTCATGGAATCGGAGTTGGGTCGTCCATAATTATGACATTTTTGGTGTTCATGGTAGCCCAACATGTCATGTTATCATAATATGGAGCATCTGGATTTTGGATCCATTCGCCGAAAAAAGAACGTCACATTTATGGTGGTTGTCGTTGATGGTGATGACTTTCATCTTGTGGGTGGTACACCAGAGAGTGATGGTGTAGCCGGCTCAGGCATGGGTGGTTGAAATTTTTGTGAAGAGGTGGTAGAGAGGAACGACGATGAAGATGATGAGTGTTATGGTTACGAAATCTAGGGTTTTGGAGGAGCTTCAAAGACAATGAAGATAAGCATGTTAATGAAAATCATGCAGTTATTTTAGCTTTTGCTTGTTTCACTGAAGAAGATAAGCATATATATGATGAAGATATGGATTCAAAACCTCCATGATTCCATGAAAGAAGGAGAGATATTAGTTTCTTTTCCTAGTTTGACTTTGTAGATCATTTTATTATTATACCCTTGTTTTCTTATGAAAGATACCTATGGCTCATATTCACTCCTAAGTCGTTGATTAACATTATTAACGGTTGAGATTGGTTTACAAAGTTAATATTGATCTCTTAGTTAACAAAAGATTATGACCCTATATATATATATATATATATATATATATATATATGGGAGCATTCAAATAAAAACCACTTAATTTGTAAAAACAGTGAAAACATCATTCAACCAATCATAATTTTTCATTTTGTTCAATTTTTTTTGTAATTATGAGAGATTGATTAACCATTTTTATTGTGGAGGGTGTTAATCATGGATATTATCATCTTCATTATTTTAATTTTAGAGAAATACATGAAACAGTTTCATTAAAATTTCATTAAGTAGTATATGAAACAATTTCATAACCACATATGAAACAACTTCATCAAAAAAAGTATTATATGAAACAATTTCACAAGATTAAACAATTTCATGAAAAAATTTCTTAAGATTAAACAATGAAATCGACGTATGAGGGTGGTTTGTACGGTTTTTACAAATGAGTGTGGTTTTCATTTGATCGCTCCTCTATATTTTATATATATATATATATATATATATATCTATACATATATGGTCTTCTTTCGAGTCTGTTTTCTTATTTTCCATAGATCGAAGATAAACCTTGTTAAAATTCTCTCTGTATTGAACTCGACCTCGAGTTCACTTGAAACACAGCTTCATTCGATTCCCTCGAATTTCGATGCAATACCAAATCACTTACATTGCTACATATATTTTCTTCTTTGAAACATTTTGATCTATAACTCGTTATTTAGAATTCAGAAAGGCTAGCAATTTTCAAGTCCCAAAAGATGTTGTCTTGATTGCCTCCACACAAGCGATATTCTATCATTAGGAACTGTTTTGATTAGATCCAGAGCCTTGGGTGCTGGAATAATGGAAGTATCATCTTTAGGATCACCATTGTTGACTTCTTGTGACAAGGGTTTTGGCGGCTCGAGGATGTCTTTTATTGGATTACTTTTGGTTTCTTTGATGGCGGGTCCGAGATCTTTGACTGTAACACCTCGGTTACGATTTCACCAAAACATAACATACGAGATATTATTTTCTAAGTAAACCACCAAAAGCTAATTATACTTTAATAAGTATTTCCAAATCCAAAACGAAAGCTTACAATCTTATAATTAAAACATTTACCAACCAAAAATTGGGACAACATAATAACTACCCGGATATATTTACAACCCAAAATAGAAACAAGACATAATTATATATATATACCAAGGTTTGACAACGATCCCCAAACTAATCACGAACTAACTACACCGGGTTCTTGCCTTTATCTTCTTTCTTTCCTGAAAAAAATAGTGAGTTAACGGAATAAGCACATGGCTTAGTGAGATAAATAGTCTAAACAAATGCTATTGAAATCWAGTCTATACAAWTACACGGGAACCATAAACCAACCAATTGAATGGTTATATAAATGAATAATAAATTGAGAGTAACACTTACGAAATAAGGGTTGTCCATAATATAACCAAAGACCAAGTGCCGGAATCCAACAATTCACATGACATAACATGCTTATTACGAAATGCAAATTACAAGTAATTATCAAATGATACCAGGTCAATTCCTTTGCAAGGGACTAATACCATACGTTAGTCAAACGGTCTAAAGAAACATGTCGGAATAACCAAACAATGGAACACATAGGACTAGCAGGGAGCCCATCGTCAATGGGTATGCTCGAGCTCCTATGGTTCATGGAATATAATGCTTAGGACTGGCAAGGAGCCCGCCTTCATCTCCCAGGTATGCCTGAGTCCCTGTACTCGTGCCTCTCTTCATATTAGGCACCGAGTACGGCCAATAGACAACGAGAACGACTAGAATGTCTCACCGGTTCCTCCCCCTTCACCGGCATGTTGACATTCACCGTTTTCGGGACGGATCACACAAAATAATCCCCGTACTTCCGGTTTCACAAGAAATCAAAGAAACAATACCGACGGAATATATGGATATCCAAACCGACCGACATTTCGGAAGAATTCGTAATCGAGAGATCAATACGTACAAAGACAAAAGACCAATAAAAAAAACGACTCTAAAGTCATAGAAATCACATACATATAAATGGCACATAAATATACACTTAATACAATAATATTTGAATAGCTATTTAACTCACCTCACGACCGAATGTCAAATACGGTCAAACCGAACGACAAATGTCCAACCTTGCAATCCAATTATAAGATACCCTCCAAAGGACTCAAACAAGCTTAAATTATCCCCTGGAGTTCATATATCAAATTTCGTAAGCATTGGTACAACCAAACACATTTTATCAACTTAATCATGTCATAAGCTAACTTTAATTATATGYTGCAGCTCTGTTTTTAACCTCTATTTTACCTCACTTAAACTCAAAATCACACTTTGACTTCAACAGATGGATTAAAGTAGAGATGTATATMTTTCCAAASCCRCTGACCTCATATTTKTCTGATTTTTCTACGATTTTTACAAAACAGTGCTGTAACATGACTTTCAAACTCGAAAAATCATACTTTTATCCAAATAAGTATCCAATTCCATTCCAATCCTAACCAAACTCATACATTAACTTCATTTTATCATCATCAAGGTAAAATCAACAAGAAACCATGGTTCATTCATCTATTTCTACCAATTTCATCAAAATCCATCTTTTGTATAACAAATAGTCAACTTATTCATAGTGAAAACTCACTTATTTTTACCATCTTCTTGCATATCAACCATATAATCAATGAATTAACTAATGTATATTCATAATCTGAGCATAATATCACAATTTCTACACTTATCTTACACATGCATTAAGCTTATATCACCCAAATGTCATCATACTTGTTACAACTTCAAGAACAAGAACAAGAATGAGATTACCTTCAAATTGTTGTGTAATCATTCAAAATAACATGATATTCACCAACATAAAACCATAATCTTACAAAATCATCCACTGATTACAAACATGCAAACCCTAATTTCCTTGATTGACACTAATTACAAAGATTAAACTTAGTATTAGAAGTATACCTTCAATAATCTTCACATATTCATCAAGAATTCATCACTTGATYTTTGATTCTCCAAGAATTGAAGTTGTTTGAGCTTAAGTGTGTGTAATTCGCACCTTTACTGTGTGTGCAAGTTATGGGACTGAAAATGGCCTAAAATGGGGTCTAAAATCGACTTTTCTAGGTTAAATCCGAGTTGGGTCGGGTTTGACCTGCCTAAGTACCCATTTTGACCACTAAACACTAAAAATAACATAACTTTTCGCTTGGAGCTCCGTTTTCGATGAGATTTTTGCCTACGCGTTCGTAACCAAATAATCTACAACTTCCAATAAAAATATTCCAGAAAAGATCTTCTTAAAAAAATTGGTTTTACGAATCCATAGCTTAATTGTTGACGTTTTGACTTGATTTCTCCAATTTTCTCAATCTAACTCCGATTGGGATGAAATTTTCTAAATCCTCTCATATATTCCAAAGAAGTATGACCTTAAAATTTCATCCCCAAACTCCCACTAAATCATTGGTTACCTTATATGGCCACTACTAATACATGTAGTAAAATTTCAACATGCTTAACATTTTCTCGCATGTAAGCACATAATATCCTTCGTAAAATGTAAATTAGGCGCACTTAGCAAATAATATGGGAAATTAGAATTGGGATGTTACATTGACCTAGTCGGGCAAGGTTTCATCTTTTTCTGGCGGTTTCTTAGGAGCAGGCGTTTGTTTGACTCGAAAAGAAACTGAATTGATAATACGGTGGTTGGCCGTTGCATGAAACCCTAACTTGATTATTTCTCATGTCTCTTCGCGTGTGGTTGTCATCGTTGTTGAGGGAGTTTGTGACGGTCACTATCAAATTAGCTAGTGTTATGGTAACAGCCGCAGTCATCTCTGCCATATCTGATTTGGTGGCGGGTCGGTCGGCCATTGTTAATGAAAAAGACAGGAGAGGCTGCTCTGATACCAATTAACGCAACGAGGAGCTGCGGAAGGGTCAACAGACGTCAGAACCCTCAAAGATAACGAGTCTACAACTGTAGCACTCGAAAAATAAGAGAAAACTCTTATAAACTAGAGATAGAACTCTAAAAATAATTGTATTGATCAATAATAAACTTTTCAACTAATTTTCTAAGGCTTACAATGGTCCTTTTTATATCTAAACTAATTCTAGATAATTATTGAAATCTAAATTCAAACTAATCTGAATTCTAAACCAACTATGAAACTTATAAAATAATTAACTAAAAGTAAACATATAATAATCCTAACCTAATTATAAAGCTAATAAATAATAACCATAATTTAATTAATTAACCTAAACTAATTAAGAAACAAAATAATCAGATAAACAAATGAATGCAATCCGTTCGGGACTCGTCTGGTAGTGCGTTGGGTCGCGGGATAAGTCGCGTAAGCGATTGTGTTACGACTTTTGATTTGGGTATTTGGACTTTTTTCGAGTTGGTTTTCTTCTTTTCCATAGATCAAAGAATAACCTTGTTAACTCTCGAATTCTCTTTGATCATATAGATAGAAATTCGTAGAAAATTGGGTGAGTACTGTATTACCATGTTCATAAAATCCAGAAAAGGGAGGAATTTGATGTTGTTCTTTGATAGTGTTGAATTTTCATGCTTTAATATGTATTTATAGGCTCAAAATCCCCAATTTCATATTTTATTATGCCTAAATCATGTTTTTATAAGCCGAGTACAAGTTTTATGTTGATTGTGGCAAGAAACGGACGAGAAAACAAGAGGAAAAATGGTTGTCGTTCTTAAGAGGGTTGTAAAGTACAAGTGGTCAAAGAAAGGTAAAACAGAGGAAAATGTTATCCAGCTATGCAAGGGTCACACTGTAGTATGACCTTACGGTACACAAAATGCTACCTTCACATGCTACCCTGTCAGGCAAGGCTCACCCGTTGTGGTATTAACTTACGGTACACAAAATGCTACCCTGACATGCTACCCTACCATACAAGGGTCGCATTGTGGTATATAACTTACATACACAAAATGCTACCCTGTCATGCAAGGGTTGTGTGATATAGTTGCATAATTTACTGCAGGGACCAATTTCGCCAAATTTTGAATCTTGAGCAGTTTTTCCATTTACGTGGTATAAATTGACTTGGAAACTGTCGTCTGAGGGGAATAGACCTAGGGACGATTTTTGGGAGCAAGAGACAAGATTTGAAGCGTTCGATCATCTCCATTCCGTTTAATTTAGTCAGTAACTCGTCTTTATTTCCAACAATAGTCAAGTTGTAGATTGTTGATGTATTTCATTTGAGATTCCTTTGATGTTGTGAACAAGTTTATTTGCTTGATTCTATATGAAAGTATTTTTCATTTGAGTTATCAATTAATTGATGTTCTTTTGGAAAGTGGCTATTCAAAACCTTAGATACGTAATCGTTTAGGGATTTTAATAAAGTGGCGACTGAAATCGTTTGGTCTCAATAAGGTTTTCAATTTGATTTCTTGAAATCGATGCTCTAATAAGCCGAGCTTGTGAGTTTATTGTTTCGAATTGGTGATTAACACTTGCGAATTTGAGAGCTTGTTCAAATTCCCATTTGGGGTTAATATTAGATTAAAGAGCTTATTTTAATCAATGTATATCTAAGAAAATCGAGGTTGTCAGAGCTTATTGACAACTATAGCAAGTTTGCAATTGTTTTACCATTTTGAACCATAGGAATCAATGACAGTGTTTGCATCATAATCGAAAGTGAGATATTTTTGGTCTTTAATTATACTTTTTTTATTCATATAGTTACGTCGGTAATATCTTAATTCACCCCTTTTACTTAAAGTATAGAAGTTGAATAATAGTCACGACCAATCCTTGTAGATTCTACCTGACTTACCATTGTTACAATTAATATTGTGATTTGGGACAGTTAGAACTTATTATATGTTGGTCTCAACAATCGTCATTACTTGTACACTTTGTTTTGTTTCTTGGGGGTGAGGGGATATAGAGCTTAATTCGAGAAATCTTGCAAGAAAAAGGTTATCTTGATGGTTATGAATGCCCCGGAGTCTCCCAGTTGCTATTCCATGGTCTCTTGAAGGTGTGCGAAATGATATGCATCTAGAACCTGAGATCAAAGCGTTAATGAAAAAGAAAATAGAAAAAAGGGAAATGAAGACTAGCCAATAGATACTCAACGGGGAAATGTATAAGTTCCAGGTCTTTCTTTTTTGCTTCTTTATTACCATTCTTTTGCATTTCTTGAATTATATTCTTGTTTTCATGGGAACCCATTCTTGTTGATATCATACAAAAAGCATGTAACTCGAGGGTTGGTCCAATTTTCTTACCCTTAAACTTGCAACAGTTGTTCTTTCCTCTTTCCAAATCACGTATATTATTTCGAAACATTAACATTATGTATTGGATGGTATTTTTTGATATCTGGATGTTTCCATGTTCCTTACGATTTGTTACCTATTAACGATCCAAACGAATTTGACATTAAACCAAAATCAAAAAACAGAAAGGAAATTACCGAAAGTGAAAGGAAATTGATGAAAAATACTCCCAATCGATCATTTGCTCTCTACAGTTCGTTCCTAGAAGTCGATCCTCTTAGAGTGATTGTTTTCAACCTTAAGAACCCCTAAGAACTCTTAAAAACCAACACCCTCACTACTTAATACGTTTATTTGAAATGTATGCTTCTGATGATCCCTGTTTGAAAAGTAGTGATCGGGTCCATCCTCTTTTGAATACTATGTCCGGTCATCATTTGCAAAATATATCTGCTCCCTTAAAAATTTCAGAAGTATGCTCCACCTTTTAGTCATGTGAAAAAACTATACTCCACAGAGACTTTAACAACTTTTTGCCAGACTTAAGTCGCTAATAGGTCACGAGAGCCTCTTTTTGGCCATTTTCTTCAATTATAAGCCCCTTTAACTGTTATTCAACAATAGACATAATAAAGATCTCAAGTAAACATATTTTAAGGATAAAATGACATAAACATGGGGATTTTGAGCCTATTAGCATATATTAAAACTTGAAATTTGTAGTTATCACCGGTCGTTGTCGATGTTGATTTCTTTTCACCTGGTTGTGGATGCTGCAAGGCTCTTCACCCCAAGGTTTGTCTAAAACAACATTTGATTTTTACACCCCATTTTCTTAATTTGTATCCAGTGGGATATATTGGGTTCATTTGGTTTTTTCTTAATCTTTATGGGATTTCGACTCTCTTTGCTATGCACCAGACTTAATTACATCACCTTACATTGTACGGGTATACAACTTATATTAAATACCCGGATCAAAAGTCGAAACACAATCACTTACGCAATTTATCCCCCGACCTGGATCGCGTGCCTAGTCGCACACACTACCAAATGAGTCCCAAACGGATGCATTCATTTGTTGATTTGATTATGTTGTTTCTTAATTAGTTTAGGTTAATTATTTAATTTTAGTTATTATTTATCGTATTTATTATTAGATTAAGATTATTATTAATTTACTTTTAGTTAATTATTTTATTAGTTTCATAGTTGGTTTAGAATTAGGATTAGTTTGAATTTAGATTTCAATAGATATCTATAGAATTCGTTTGGCTATAAATGGGACCTTTGTAAGCCTTAAAAATTTAATTGAAAAGTTTATTATTGATCGATACAATCATTTTTAGCGTCTCGTTGCAAGGCTCGTTATGCTTTTGGATTTAAACATTTGTCAATCCTTCTGTGTTTTCCTACCATGTCAGTATAACATAAAGTTCCTTTTCTTGTTTTTTGGTGCAAAATAAACGATTTTTATATAATCAATTTGTATGGAGCAACAAGTACGACTCTTTTTTTTGTTTGTAAGGAGCGAACTAAATTGATAAAGCAACAAAAATCAATATTGTTTCTTTTTTCATGAATTTGCAAATAGTGCATCATTTCTGGCGGCTATATCTGTCGGAAATAAAGATTTCCGACGGATATAGCTGCCGGAAATTTTGGCGCCGGTGATTAATTTTCCGGCGGATCCCGATCACCGGAAACTTTCCACTGGTTTATTTAAAAATTCGTTACTAAATTAAAAAAATATTTAAGTTTTTTTAAAAATAGATTAATTTACCGGATGTGTCCGCCAGAAAAAGAAATTTTCTCGGTATACTCTTCTTGAAAAAGAGTCATCATTCCTACCGAATAAAATTCTATCCTTATCTTCCTTCTTATCAAATAAAATTTCTTAATAATTATCGAATTATCTGATAAGATAAATTACCCGAAAAAAGAAGCAAGGAGAGGAAAAAAATACAATCTTGAATTTTCTCTTTTGAAAAGCGATACTATGCGAAAAAAGCCACCATCAAACACCGAAAACTCGAAATGTTTTTGAAAACCAGAAGCCGCTAAACTCTTTGCAGAACCCCCCTTTCCATCTTTAAACACCATAGACAATAATCCTCAAATTCAATCATCAAATAATTCCTTCAAATTTGGGTTTCAAACAATTTCAAAATCTTGAAACCCTTTGCCAATGTCATCTCCTCCCCCATCAAATCCACCCACCACCACCACGACAGCCGCCGCAACCGCAACCGCCGATTTCTTTAAATCGGTAGCGCGACAGAGACCCCGAAAACACGTTCACCCAGCAATCTACCAGACCTTCTACAATCACCAACCCGCCACCACAGCAGCTTTCCCACCACCAACACAACGCCAGCAACCACAACAGCAGTCCCTTCACTCCAATTTAAGAACTCAACATCAACAATCAACGGCCGGGGGACTTCTTTATCCTGTTGCTTCTTCCGGCAGGGGATTCCTATCAAAGCATCAACAACCCAGCTCCGATCAGAATGCGGCGGTGGGAGTGATAGCCAATTCTGATGGCTTCCCGCCTCGGCCTGTCTCCGCTTACCCTTATGCTCTTCATCGGCCATATGGGTTCTCGAATTCGGATATTCCTGGTCAGACTTCGCATCAACTGGTTACTCCCTCGTCTGCCCATTTGCAACCCCTTATGGGGGGTGGCGCTGTGATGCCCACAGTTGCTACGGGAGTTTCAGTTTCTGCAAACCCAAAGGTTCAAATACTCTACTGTTCCTATGTGCATTTTTGCTGGAGCTGCACTGTTCCTCTTCAAAGTTGCTTGATTATTGTTTACATGCGCCTTTAATATTTTGGCAGTTGATGGAGTGGATTTTCACTAAATTGCATCCATAGGTGCTAAGAAGGGAAAATCTACAAGTGTACTAGCATTAACCGGATTATAATTCTAGGCTTGATTGCTATTTGAATGCCTTGATTAATTTCTGTAATGATCTGAATTTTGTATAGACTCTATCTGAATAAGGGATGGCCTTTTCTGATGCTTGAGCAATATTGCAGCCTCTCATTTATCTTGATCAAATGAAAATGATTAGTATTCGTGTCATAATGATAGAATAGTGAAAATACTGACACTTTATGATTAGAAATGGTAATCTTTTAAGGAACTGATCTGACTAGACAATCCGGCATGGAGTATTTATTGGAAGTGTAGATGACTGGAGCTTGAGGCTTGGTTACCGACTTTTGCAAAATGACAAGTGAATAAAAGAACTAGCTTTTTATTTCATAAGTAAGGTGTGATGATACTGAAAATTAAGAAAAAATAACAATTAAGATATTAGTTAAGGAGGGTCAAGGCAAGGTTCTTGTAATACGAAGTAACAACAAATCTTTTAGGTACCAGTTAAATCTCTACTACACCTAGGCTGGGAATTTAATTCTCTTGTGGGTGATGGAGTGCATAATTTATCCTTTCTTAGAAAAAAAAGATTACAAGCATCTAGGATACCCCAAACGGACATGCTCAAGTATCTAGGCTTCATGATTGTAAAAGGAGGGAGAGGTCGAGAATACATGCTGCATAAAGATTGGGCGATTAAAGTGGAGGGTTGCCTTGGGAGTTCTGTTCGACAAGAAAGTTTTGCTAAAATTGAAGGGAAATTCTACAGGGTAGCCATCAAACCAACTATGTTGCATGGATCAGAGTGTTGAGCAATGAAGAAGGCACTTGAGAGGAAGTTGGAAGTTGTAAAAATGAGGAAGCTCAGGTGGACCGTGGACGGACCATGTTGGACTGGTTACCAGATGATGCCTTTCGGGAAAAGTTTTATGGTGCGGTTATCACGGATGAATTGAGAGAGAAAATTGCGGTGGTATGGTCACACACCTGAGACATTACGACACCTTTGAGGAGGATAGAGAGCATGACAGTTGAGGGGTTGAGGAGGAGGAGGAGGGCAGAACAGGAGAACATGGGAGTCGCGATTGGCATCTAAGGCTATATATGTGCTAGCACTAAATCTCTAAAAAGGGTAGGATCCGGTTAATATGCAACACATGTTCTAGGGCTTCCTACTCACTCTCATGTTGGAAAGTATGCATTCATGATTGGGTTGAAGAGTGAAGACTTATTCGCATGTTGTGCTAGCTATTGAGTTGTTTAATTTAAATGCTTTCAAGTAGATAAGAGTGCAAAAAACAGACACTGTAAAGCTGTTGGATAGTCAGATTTGGAATATTCAATGATATTTTACTAAGAAAAACGTCCAAGTTCGGAGATTCTTATGTACTATTTTAGGTGTATCTTTTTATCATTGTGGTCTATTGGTTATGTCTCTTCACTAACAATATGAGTAATTTACACAAAAAATATTAGGAGACTAAGGGGCCGTTCACTGAATGCTTACCCGGTAGGCGCTTACGAGGTCCATTTACCTCACCAGATGAACATGGCAAGGGCCGAGAATCTTACCTTGTAAGAACGATGATAAGGATGGTGAGTCTTATCCGGTAAGTGGGTTGACGACTCTTACCTGGTAAGCGTTTACCGGGTAAATTGTTGCATACGATGCCGTTTTGATAGACTACAATCTTACCTGGTAAAGTAAGTTAGAGTGTTGACTCTTATCGGTAAGTGTTTGGGTAAATGGCACCTAAGATAGGGAACTCATGGTCATGTATGTGCAAATACTAAATTTAGCGAAAAAATCTGTACATGAATGAGTCACAGGTATTTAGAATGTTGTTCAATGCCCTATCCTAAAGAAGAATAAAATTTATTAATAATCGCTGCTCATTTAAGGAGCAATTTCTAGAGGGTTCTGTGGTCATGCCTGATCTTCAAATTAGCTCCGCATTACACATGATATTTTAGTCATTTGGAAGAATTTCTACCTAATATTAAGGAGTCACAAAAGTAGGAAAGGTTGTAACCTAGGTTTTTTTCATAATTTTCTGAAGTTTTCCTGCCATGGATAGAGCATTACGTTTTGTTAAAGGCGTTGGAAGTGGCAAAGGAGTGGCTAAACGACTATTTATTGATTTAAATGAAAGGCCAGAAGAGGAAGAAACAGTTAATCCAGATGATCAACCAAAGGTAACTGCACCTGCATCGTTGCAATCCTATGTCGATCCTGGTTACCATAAAGCAGATATGGCAGTACTCAAACAAAACAGTTGGGTACTAAAAAGTCGATTGGCGATTTTGAAGCGTATGGGTACAACCTTATAGGTTTATAGTTTAGTTCTAATTAAGCAGTTGGGTACCTACCTTTACGTGTTCCTTTTTTGCGTCTTGTGGAAATTGCATATTTTTTATGTATGTTTTTAGGTTATCTTGGTTCATTAGCATGGGGATTAGCTCACTGATTGCATAATGAGAATATATTAGGAAACATGTTATGAACCATTTGTTCTCTGCCCCTGACACTTGCATAACATAAGAAACTCTTCTTATCAGTGTGCCCTTAATATTTTCATCTCAATTGTGAAGACAAAAAGGTTAAGCTAGTCTTAATATTGTATCACTCTATTTCTCCAATTCATAACATGATTACATTAACATGCTATGTACTTGTGATTTATCATAACTATGATTTCTTTTTACTAATTTTCTTTTACCTTGTGGTGGTGAAATAATTGCCCACTTGAGAAAGAGTTATTATGCAAATGGTCTAAGGTAATTTAATCCTATAGTGGTGGCAATTGGTTCTCACCTTTTTTTCAATTGTTCTTCTTAAGAGTTTAACTTGAATCCTTCTTGTTTTGATTTTTCTCTTTCAGACATACATCCCAAAATATTATACATGACAGAGTTGAGAATTTGAGAGAATTTGAGATGTATTCCCAACAGAGCTTCTTAATTCTAATGATTCAATCAGATTTTCTTAAACACTATTTTTTACATTTTATTAGTTGTGCTGCTTTGAGTTTGGATGTCGAAAAAATATTTTTTATAAAACTAAATATTTATGTTTAATTCTTTAGTAAAAATCAACTACATCAAAACGTGCACTAACTATTATAAATACAAAATAACCGGTGATAAAAATACCCTAGAAGAACAAATGAAGACTATAATTTTTGTAAATACAAGCTTGACATTCAATGTCAAAGTAGGGAAAATAATAGAGAAATGAGGGAGTGTTTTTTTTTTTTCAGTTTGAAGAACGTTAGGTGATTAAATACTGTCTACCTATTTGTCTCTACATGTATCATACGGCTGACCCACATCGAGGCTCCTTGGCTTTTGAAGGTTCATGTTGGTAGTCTTTCGTATGCATTTAATTTTCCTTGCATTTGTAGAAACAGACATTTTCCGATAAGCAAACCTGTGAGTCTGTGACCTGCATCGAGGCTCCTTGGCTTTTGAAGGTTCATGTTGGTAGTCTTTCGTATGCATTTAATTTTCCTTGCATTCGTAGAAACAGACATTTTCTGATAAGCAAACCTGTGAGTCTGTGACTTCTGATCACAAAGGTTTATTGGTGTGGATCCATGATGATGCTTAAGCTATGAAGCTTGGAACCACTCATAGGGTTTTCTGATTAAAAGGAAACCTTTTCCTAAAGGAAACTAGAATAAAAATATGAAGGGAACATCCCTAAACATAAAAGAAAATTTAGAAGGGTTCTTTCATATCCTTCAAAAGGTAGCTATTTATAAGGAAGCTAGGGAGGGAAGGATGGTAGGGGTGGATTCTAGGGTCTTGAGCTCAAGAAAAAGGCAAAATATAGGGTTCTTTTAACAGAAGTTAAGGCTTCTTAAATGCCTTGGATGAATTGGGGTTCTCCGAGCCTTTATTTGGCTCCAAAATTATTCTAAAAACTTGAAATGAATCCAAAATTTTGATGGAATTAATGTTGTGTTCTCTATGGGCTTTGTTGGACTTGAACTCTCTTCTTCTTCATTCTAGCTTGTTTCCTTCGCAACTTGATGCATTTTGAGCTTCTAGAAAGTTCACCAACTTGTAGCTTGAAGATGATTTCATTATCTTCATTGCATTGGTTGAACATGAATATTTGGAGCTAGCATCACCAAAGCTTGTTGCATCTTCTTGGTTCTTGATCTTGTAATTGGACCATCCTTAAGCTTCAATGGATCTTGTTTGTCATTGGTTGATGCGCCTCCTCAGTTAAGTTTAGTAGTTGCTCCAGGCTTTTTTTTGTACACATTTGTGATTCTAGTAGATTTCTAATTTTATTGTTACTTTATTTTTGTTGGATCAGTCACATGATTTGTGATGTTTGCTATTTCATAATTTCTTATCTTCTGTAGGTTGTTGGGCAGTCGCCAGTTGCTGATGATAATAGCTTAAAAAATATAAGGTAATATCATATTATCTGTGAGATGTATTATTTAGTTTGTCTTCATAGTTTTTGCCCTTGTTTTATCTTCAGCTGATAATAATCTTTAATTTATTTATGGTTTTGTAGGGATAAGAATGGAGATGATAGTTTTGTTATTATTAGAGATAGAAAGGTGAAAATTCTTTCTTCTCCTAGTGTGTTCTTGATGTTATGCAGAACTCATTCCTTTGTTAGATATCCACGACAAATATGTTGCCACTGCGCAAACGCATGGAAATTTCAAATTGGCTAAGTTTGGGTTGTGCTATTGTCAAGGGCATCTTAGAAAAATTGTACTGTTACTTTGAACTGAAGCCTTTAGCGGATAGTGGTTTATTTTTCTGGTACAAAGTTGTTCATATAGAAGCTTAGAAAGTATTCTATGGAATGATAAGGATATCATTTGAAATGACGTGTCCAAAATTTTGAATCTTTCACATATCATGCAAACATACTTGAATTCTTGTTTGAACATACTTCACTACATTTTTGCATGCATGCACTTCAATTATGGTGAAGTCTTGTTTGAGATCTAGACCAACCCATCTTGCTTTTGTTCTTGGCGTGTAAGAAATTAATTTTTTTAATGATGTTTGTGACTTTAAACCAACCAACATATATTATTTCTTTCCACCAAAGATATTTGCTAGTTAGGAAATCTGTCCATATGGATCAACTCTTGCTTTCGGCGTATATGCAAAGGAGAAGAACTTTTCGTAGTTGTCTAACATTGTTTAAACTGACAGCTTTTTTAATAATTTATCAGTTGAATGTAATATATACATAAATATGAGGTAAAATATTACTTCCAAGGGTTGTCCTCCAGTGCATGTTGCATTAAGAAATGTCTACTTGTGTATATTGATAGCTAATAACCAATTAAATGGCTAGCGCTATCAGAGAAATTGTGGATAAAATAGCAAAATAGGAGGACGTAAGCATAGTTTCTATACAAAGTTTGAAAAGATATGTTTGTGTTCTCAAAAGATGGGTAGGAGTTGTGTCTATGTATGTGTGAGAGGGGGTGGAAATTCAGTGAGAGGTCAGAAAATTGAGTCAAGATATCACTATGATTATTCTTTATAAACCAAATCAGACGAGTCTAGTAATAGTACGTCCCAACCCCCGAAAGGTGGGGTCGCCACCGGGGGGGGGGGTGTATGCAGACCTACATATACCCATAAAGTCGAGCGACTGTTTCTGTGAAGACCCTCGACTTGTGCAAAATGTGTGAAAAAAAGAAAAAGCTTGCTAAAAGAATTGCGAAAATAGAAAATAAGAACATTTGAAAAAGAAAAACTCGAAAAAAAGAAACGAGTTAAAAGTATGCAACAACATTTAAATAGACAAACACACAAAAGATGCAACCATAGGCAGGTACAAGAAAACATAACCAAGGTAAGAAGAACTACACACTCCTAGTCTAACCTAGACCTCAGGAGGCCGAACTGCCGGCTCACTAACCCCCACCCCATCCTCTAGTTCTACCTCTCCAGTCAAGGCTAGCTACAGATCCCTGCCCCTAGTCTGCTACCCTAGTCATGTGTTTCCTAGAACTCTTATTGGAGGTCATGTCCTTTATATGTTATTTAATATTTATTGTGATTATTCTTTATATGTTCTTTAATATTTATTATTATTGTTTTTATATGGGAGCAATATGTGAAGTCACTATGTTCGTATTTGTTGTAGAAGCAGCATGTTCTATTAGATAGGCCATGCGGTACAGATTTATTTCTACTTGCTTAGTTATTTACTTGGTTCTAATCTACGGAAGGGATAAATCCAGAATCGATATTCGATTTGACCCGGCTTTATGAATTTGTGGGTAGGGACTCAAAAACTACAGCCATTGTTTTTTGCATACGTCAAGTGCGGTGGCTATTTTGATTTATACCAGATGGGTTTGCTTGTTGAGTAATCTGTTCATGATTTTGTAGTATTCAAGCATTATGGACAAGCTGTAAATTCTGTCCTATATTTGGTAAATAAAGGAGGTTTTGCTATGTTTTTCTAAAGACACAGCAGGACAGGATCCATTTGTAACATTAAAGGAAATACCTAAAAATTTGTGCCTATGTCAAAGTGATGTTTTAATATTTACTAGAAGTTCGATACAGCCATAGGAATAAATGAATCACTTAGGTTCTAGGATGTTACTAGCACTCCTTTAGGAGTGCGGTTTATTCCACTTGTTGAAGTATCTCTTTACCATCCACATGTTAATCTTGGCAACCCCAGTCTCTCCTAATTTGTACCATGGTACAAGTCTCCTATTCTATTTGTGGCATTCCAAGGTCTACCTTCAGGTTCATCAAACCATCCCATGTCCTGTTGTGTAGCATCTCGATAACCAGTTGTGTCATTGTTTCTGATCCTATCCCTTCTTATGTGCCTACAACACATTGTTCAATTTTCTGATTTCGGTGGTATACTTATCTTGTGCATCTGTTGTCTTTTTGGTGGCCACACCACACTTCCTTTCCTGTAAATCATAGGACATTGAAGGTACCATCGCCTTCCTATTTCCTATTTCATATTTCAATTGGGCTTTTAGATCACACAAGACCATCAAATCTTGGTACCATTTTATTCATCCTCCCTTATTATAGATGATTGACATCCTCATCATTTTCTCCAGTTTGTAGTATTTGTAGTACTTATACCGGAGAATAAAAAGATTCATTTTAATCTAATTGTCAAAACCGCCCTAGTTGTGCTTTATATACTATGTTTTTAGTTTGGCTTAACACAAGACCTTTAGATTATGAATATATTCGTCCAAAAGGCGTGTATGTCACTATGTCATCAACCAAAGCAAAATTAATAGGGAGATGTGCCAAAATAGAAAACCTAAAAAGATGATCTTAGTATATTACACACAAAAAGATATCCTGCATTCCTATCACTCCTTATGTTGAAATATAAATACCAAGTAGGCCCAACTTGTCACATAGGAATGTCATGTCTATGTAAGGGCTATTTCAAGACGTGTGCAACCCGGGACACACCCAAAGTGTCTCAATAAGAGGCTCACAAGAAGTCTGTTGCACTTCCTCATGTAGAATGTGAACTTGTGGGTTTGCCCATGAAATATATGATTCTTAGAGATATGCATAACTATCTCACTATGATAACCAAAATTTATGATCGTTATTCTAGGTAAGCTAAGTAGCTACAAACAGGACTTACCATACTTGCCTATTCTATCTATCTTATGAAGACATTTCTTAGTTATAATGTTATAAATTATTATTTTTTGCTGATTATGTTCCGTTTGGATATTTTGTAGGTTCAAGTTTCTGAGGGCACTTCCCTTTATGCCCAATGCCGATCGTGGTTAAAGAATGGGTTTACTTTGGAAAATCAGGTATGCATCATGGTTAAAGGTCTCACAATTGATTTTAATCATTATTGCATTGTTATCGCTCAAAACTAATCTTCTTATCAATCAACATGATATGAACATATTAGGGTTCCAAAAACTCTTACCGTTCAAGTTCTTATAATAAGATTAGGATTAAGTCCAAAAATATAAACTGTGTTACAAATCTTTATGGAATTAAATGAAGGATTAGAAATATAAAGTCCAAGATTTGATTAACACAATCTAAGAATCCAAAGAAGTAGTAGAACTTGGTCGATGAAATCAATCGATGAATGAATATGGAAGATCTTCGTCCGATGAAGATGTATGTGAGGAAGAAGATGAAGGTAAGAATGAGAAAGTAAAAGATGAAAATGAAATCGACGCCCCTTTTTATAGGGTAAAAAAAATGAAACGACGCGGTAATCTGATTGAATGAAAACGAGTCACACGGATTGATAGACGATACAAATTCCTTATCGGATGATGCTTTGTCCGATAACAAGACTTCATCGGACAAACATTGTACGATGAACAAGGTTATCGCCCAAAGCTTTGAGCGATGAGAGGGTTTATTGGCCAACATTTTGGTCGATAAACGAGCTCATCGGCCAAGCTTTAATCGATAAACAAACTCATCGTTCAACAAAGAATAGGCAAGGAACTAAAACAAGTAATATCCGAAGACAAGATCATCACATAAAACTTGAAGAATACCACCAAAAAGATCAATGAGTGTTCGGATAACCTCCTCATCGGACACAACTATGTCCGGATTGACCCTTCTCCGGACAACACTTTGTCTGGATAAGGTCCTCATCGGACAAGCCTTTGTTCGGACAGGACTCTCATCGATCAATACTTCATCGGTTATCCCTTCATCGGTCAATACTTCATCTTCAAAAATACCTGTAAAAAATATATCAGTTAAAATTCAAACTCAAAATCACATATGAATAACAAGTATTTTACTCCCCCTAGAAAAATGATCATTTAAACTCTTCAATTATTTCCCCTTGAAAATAGATTTCTCATTAAAAACAGTGTAAAAGATAAATCATTAAGCTCCCTTTGAATCAGATTAGCTCAGGTTCTGAACTGAGTTGTTCAGAAACTGTGTTGAAGACCAGGTTCTGAACTTGGTGTTCAGAAGCTATAGTGGCATACTCAAACCATGCATCAGTCTATCATGTGATTAAATGTCTGAAATCAGCATAGCACATGACAAACCTGCAAAACAGATTAAACAGATTTTGGTACCCACACAGACGTGGGTCCTATTTTGTTAGTATTGGTTTGGGGAATGTTCTAAGTGCCATACTACCTATTCTTATCAGATAATTTCTTTTTAGATCTTTTAACAGGTAAGTCAGATATGCAATAAGAATCATACTAGTCATTATTATACCAGTTGTTCTCATACCAACCTTTTCCATAACAACTGTTGTCATACCTGGTATTTCCATTCCAACTGTTTCCATACCAGCTGTTTCTATACCATCTGTTGGCCTTCTTCTTATTGATGAAGTTATTAGTTTCACATGCTGAACATCAAATCCTTTTCTTGCTAAGACTAATAAGCTGGTTAGCAGACTTAACAATGCAAGGGAAAACAGTCTTAGTAAGAAATGATTTCTTATTATCAACAGAGTTTTTAGAAGTTTTACCTTCAGATCCATATTTATTTATCCAAACCTTTTTCACTTTTGGAAAATGATTATGTGATTCAGTAACGTAACCTTTGTAAAATTGATTTGAATTATGAGATTTGTTCTTCAAAACAGTTGATTTAGGACTACTTGAGTAATTGTTGGATTTGACGCTAGAACAGTCATTCAAGCAGGTTTTACACTTAGAGTGAGAATCAGTTGAGCTTGCAGTACTCATTTCAGAAAATTCTTTTATTTTCTGTAGCAACTGATCTCTTTCTTCAGTAACTAAATCATACCTTTTTTTAACCTCACATCTCATATTTATCTCAGCCACACGGTCAGTTTTAAATAAGACAATTTCTTTGAAGTTTCAGAAATCTCACCTTCCAGGTCTGATCTTATCTTTTCAAAGTCTTTTCTTTCCTTTCTTCCTCAAAACTTCCCTTATCATTATCTGAAGCAATGTCTAGCCATTTCTTTTTCTCTATCACCTCCTTGGCAATAGGTGCATTCTTCTTTGCAGTTTTCTTTTTCTCAGTTGCAAAGGCTTTTCTTTCTTCATCTAAAGCCTTCTGCTTGGCAGCAATGCTCTTAGACATTTCTAGACATTTCTTTTCAGATTCTTTCACATATTCTTTCTTCTCATTATCAAACTTGGCTCTTTCCAAGATGATTATCTGTTCAAATTCAGAAATTTTCTCAGACAGTTTTGCATTATTCAGCTCAAGAACCTTGATCTTACTTTCAAGAATCTTCTTTTCAGCATTAATTTCTTTTCTGCTTCAACCAACCTTTCCTTTTCCTTCTCAAATCCATTTTTATCAGTATTCAACTTTTCAGATTTTAACAGATTAATTCAATTACTCTCTTCTTTTCCTTCTCAAATATTTTTCTTTTAGAAGTCAATTCTATCTTAGCTTCATAAACTCTTTTAGTCAGCTCATAATTTCCCGTTATCTGCTTAACATTCCTTTTCCTGAAAATCAGATGAAAATCCTTTAGATATGAATTCATCAATTTGTTCTTGTAAAAAATTCTTTTCTTCAAGAATCTTTTCATTATCTTTAGCCATGTCTTTGGCCCATGAAAGATTGGAATGATTTTCATAAAACATCTTAGCATAGTTATCTTGCTCCATTTTAAATTTTCTTTCCAAATCAGAAATTCTTTCTTCCAAATCCTTATTTTCTCTCTCAATTTTTAATGCCATTTCAAATTCTTTACAAAACTGATCAATCAAACTTTGATCTTTTTGCAGTTCAAGACTTAGACAAAAAATATCACCAAAATCAACAAATTGTTTATCGGACAAGTCACAATTATACACAAATATATCGGACAACTCACCTTATCGATCAACTCTTTATCTGACACAATTATATTGATCAACCCCTTATCGGTCAACTCACCTTGTCAATAACAAATCTTTATTGGACACTAAAGGATACCGGACAAGGCTTCACCGGATACCTTTTATCGGACAAGGCTTCACCGGTGACAAACTTCATCGGATGAGTCTTATCCGGTAACACTACTAATTGGACAAAGCTATGCGATAAGGGCAACACACAAAAAATATCAAGCGATGAGAAATTTAAATCGGACAACAATGCAAATTCAACAAAGAATGTAAATTCAACAACCGATGACCAGACTCTTATCGCTTGATGAACTTGTTCATCGAGCGATGAAGATTCGCTTATGCAAAAATTCCAGATTTCAATCAAAATTACTCAAATCAACACCAAATTGAAAGATATAAGCACAGATTGACTCGAAATCTTACCTCAAACAGGAAGTTGATACCAATTTTAATCAAAAAAAGATCAAAATGACCAATTTGACAAGAAATTGCAAGAACAGTTTCAAGACTTTGAATACTCAAAAATTCAGAATTGAATCAAGAAATCGATTCAATTACGAAATTTACTGATTCAGATTAGTTTCCAATCACAAATCGCATACAATACACACAATCATACAGTTTAATTCGAACAAAAATGAAGAATTTGAGTAGAATTAAAAGAAACAGTGAAGAACACAGTTTGATCACTTCAAGAACACAGTCCAATTCAACCGATTCTGGTTTCAAATTCGTCCAAATCGCTGCAATTTGCTCTGATACCGATTGATAATTCCCAGAATGATTAACCAATCTTCAATCTATGATAATGTCAATGAATGAATATTGAAAGTAGTAGAAAGTAAAGAGAGATTTCCAAAAGTAGAATTGTATTGATCTTCAAAGAGTAATTACATTCAAGAAGCATACAAAGATTACATAGAGAAAACCTATTTATAGTAGGTAATTACAAAGGAGAAACTTAAGCTTGAATACAACATTTAGCACAATAACTTGAACCCAACAGGATGAAATGCATATTAGTAAATGGAAATCATGACAAAGAGAATGGTTATCAAAATCTTGTTGTAATACCTACATTACATGTCATATTGAGGTGATGAAGCTTTTGCTGCTGGTCCATTGACACACTCCTACACCAGAGAATACACAAGTTCAGGACATGAACACATATCCTCTTGATTGACGACCTTAGCAGGCCTGCGATGGTCTATATAACATTTGTGCCATCATTTTCCCATTTTAACCAATTAGGCTTACCATATAAGCATTTTTTGCCATGCCTGCCCTTGTACAATCATTTTCAAGCATCTAGGTCATTGTACTATTTTACCCGTTAGTAGGCTATGAGATATTGATCCTATTATTTAGTTTGCAAGATTCCTCGATTTTGTGATTGCTGGTCCGTACTTAAATATTTGATTAAAAGTCAAACATTTTCATTAGATTTTGTGCTAATCAAAAGCTTTATTTATTTGGGGATTGAGCAAGTACTGATTTTGATCTTTAATTTGTCATATATAATGGTTAATGATATTTACCTTAAAACTGTAGAGGCTCTTATCTTAGCTGAAAATGGATCACTAAGTCTTCTCTTTCTAGTTAGATTTTATATATTCATTTACATCTCTTCTCAATAGAGAAATATACAGAAATTCGATTGCCTTTTTGTGCTGTTATCAAGGCCATCTCGAAATCCTAGGTCCCAGCCATGGTGATTACGGAATTGTGATTTTCGAAACCCTAGCCGTCTGCTATTGCTGCCGCTTCTACTTCCTTTGTTTCTCATTTTAGTGAACCACAATTCTAGGCCTAGTCTTCATGGCTTCCTTTTTTAGATTTTTCTTGCTAATGTAATGGCTTGGTATGAGCGATTTGAGTATATCTAGAAAGGCTTGAACAATTATTGATACTCTCTAAAGATTGTTACGAGCCATCTTGTATTTCAAGAAAACCGATTTTTGGGCTTCTAGTAGTCAGGTTAAATTCGCTTTGTTAAGACTTTATGACACAAAAAATAACCCTTAGGGGCCGTTTGGTTCACGGAATTCAAATGAATTTGATGGAATTGGAATGACAAATTCCTTTGACCAAATTTCTATTCTTATGTTTGGTTCATTTCTTGAAATGGATGGAATCCTTCAAATTCCACAAATTAGTGAATTCATCATTTCATGGCATAACGGAAGGAATTGAATTCCATCACCACCCCCACGACCATGCTACTATTGTTCGTCATGCCCCACCCCTAACACCCCCCCACCACTAACCACCATGCCACTACTGTTGTTCACCACCCTAGTCACTCACTGCACATCCCTACTACGAGCATGCTACTACCGTTATTGTTACACCCCTAACCTAACCCCCACCACCACACCATTATTGTCGCCGTCACAACTGCCACTCACCCCCACCCCACCCTACCCCAACCCACCACTAACCACCATGCTATTGCTGTCGTCGTCATACCCACCCACTCTCAGCCATCCGACCACCATCCCACCACTTTCATTGTCACAGCTACCACCCCGCCACCCATCACCACCTCACGCCTAACCTAACCCTCACCCCCACACCACTATTGTTCATAACCGCCACTCACCTGCACCCCATCCTACCCAACCCACCATGCCACTATTGTTGTCGTCATATCCACCCACTCCTAGGCCCCAGCCACCCGACCGCTATCCCACCACTATCATCGTCACAGCTACCACCCCGCCACCTACCCATACCCACCCTACCGTCCCCCCCACCAACTCAACACTAACCACCATCCTACCACTGTGGTCGTCACAACTACCACCCTACCACCCACTGCCCCACTCTGTCCCCACCCCACCGCCTCGCCCCACCCTACCTGCCCCAAACAACCCCAACCTATAGAGCAGGGGGGGGGCAGGAGTGGTGAGGGCAGGATTTGGGTAGGGGTGGGGTGATAGCTGTGATGATGACAATAATGACATGGTGGTTGGTAGGGTGTGGGCGTGGCGATGGCTGAGATAGTCCAAACAAAGACGGTTGTTCCAGTTAATTTGAGAGTTTTCATTCCATTTCCTACCAACCAAGCACGTGGTCAAATTCCATTTCCATTCCTTCAAAGTCAAATTCCTTTGATGGATTCCAATTCCATCAAATTCCATTCTCTGAACCAAACACCCCCTTAGTGTGATGGATGTGGTGCTAATGATGTCTAAAATCACAAACCATAAGCTAATTGGTTTGAACTATTAGGATTGGAGTAAGTCTGTTTGCCTTTATCTGCAGTTACATGCTGAGAGTAGATGCTCGCTTGTTTGTTCAAACTAAAAAATTATGAATTTGTTGAGGAAGTAATGGACTATTTGGAATTCTTGTACTCCAATATGGGGGTTGCAAAGCCTTTTATTGTGCAAAAAGCCAAGACCAATCTCTTATAAGCTGTTTTATGGGGTTCAAAAAAAGACACGAAGAGCTTAATATGTTGCTGCCTTTTAGTTCTGATGTGGAAGTTCTATAAAGCCAACTTTTTTTTTTCTTCTATTTGTCAATGTTTTTTACAGACTTCATATTTGATTAAGTCAGTGACCTTGCTGCTTGTTTTCCATCATAATGACTAATTTGTTGAATATATTTTTTACCTTTATGAAACACAAACCAGAAAACATCAATTCTTATATGATGATCTGAATAATGGTATCACATCTGCAGTGCTCCATGTTGTCCTGTTTTTTGTGTGTTTTATTGACTTAGAAGTTAACTCGATGCTTTGGTGACAGCCACAATATGTGGATTGCGTGAAATCTCTTCCAAAGCCATTGCCTGCATCCATGGTAGAAGCAAGAAAGGAGGATGATATGGAGATAGAAGAGGTATTTACTTCATCTGCTGTCGCTTTAATTTTGTTCATATTTTCCTCCATGCTCCATTTATCCGTCCTCTCTTTGTTCCTCCACACTTCAACAAATGGGACGTGCAAAGACATTTATAAATGGGATCTAGAAAACGAAACCAAACGGGACCAATATATCTCATATAGAGGTGGGATGTATGCAAGATCTGAACTCTATCCTAAATATTAGAGCGACTGTTCCTTGAAGACCCCCAACTAGTGAAAGGTGTGAGAAAGGGAGAAAAACAAACACACCAAGGGGGCGTTAGTTTTGGTGCAATGGTTTTGAGGGATTTGGATTTTGTGGAGGGATTTGGAATCGGGAGGATATGCAATATTTGGTGTATTTGGTTTGTAGGATTTGGAATGGAATTGAATTCCGTACTTGATAAATAATTTATAAAAACAAATTGTATATATATATATATATTTTAAAATAGTTAAAATACCTTCTTATTAGTGCATTTAACATATTTTAAAACATTATTACAAAAAATTCCTACGAAATCCCACGAAATACCAACTACTCCCATGGAATTTTAAATCCATGAATTTTAAATCCAAGCATTCCTTCAAACCAATCATAGGATTGGGATGGAATTCAATTTCAAAACTCTCCAAATCCTATCAAAAAATGGGACCTAAACATTGAAAAGTTATATATGGGTAAGCAACATCAATATAAATAGAAGCTAAATGGGATCTAGAAAACGAAGATGTCAAATAGTCTAAACGAAGAGATTTAAGTGGTATCGTTAGAACTACTACTGCTTACAATGAATTTCGTGCTATGCTAAGATGCTTCATTATTTACGATGAATTCCAATATCATCTACAGTCTCTCAAGGTTATGATCCTCTTTTCAAGATAAAATTTGATGATCCAAATTCCCGTTTCTTTTCTTAAAGATTGGACAAAGAGTTGTTTTTTTTAACGTATGTATGATCATGCATCACTAAGAAATGATGGCTTTGCCCTTATTTGGTCTCAGAAAATCGAAGATGTTGAGCAGTTATCTGCTAAGGAACTGTTGCAACAGCATGTTAAGCATGCGAAGAAGGTTCGAGTGAGGTATGCTTTTCTAAATCTCGATTCAGTTGTAAACCGAGAATTAATGTTAAAAATAGCAAGTTATTTGACTCAATATTGACTTCTTGGATGAGGGATCTAGTACAATTACACCATTAATACGTATCTTGTTAATGATTGTCGTTTTGCAGATTAAGAAATCAAAGGCTACAAAGAATCGAAAGGTACAAGGACCGTCTTGCTCTACTCCTACCCCCAGTTGTGGACCAACAACCGAAAAACGACCCTACTTCTTGAAGCCGAGCATCATCCAAATTTCAAAGTTTGGTCGTTTGTTGCGAGTGTTTACAATCGAACAAGACACATTCAAAATGGTCATTTGATTTCATGACCATCTCTAGGATGTTTATAAAAGATTTCTTAAATCCATGGTTTTATCGTCGTTTTATCGATTATTTTGGGTAGTTAATAAAGAGAATATAATTTAGAATTAATTTTGAAGAAAATATAATATTTATATTAAACTTTGGATACTTGCTTCTAAATTTCTACATATGCATCTGAATTTATTTGTATAAAGTGGAAAAGTATAAAGTGAACAACTTTAAGAAGGAGATTGTATCCCATAAAGTCCTTTTTGTCTTTTATTTACTATTGCAAATTTTAAGTCATGATTACATAAAAACCATTTTCTTTTGCACAAACTTTCAACTCTTGCATTGCATTCCATTTCCCAAATGATTACCAAAAGCATCAAGATGACATGCTTCTTGCCGACCTTTTTCAACTTTTAGTTTTTATCTGGAATTGTTTGTTTATCTTTTAATAATTCTATTAAGAGACAATCTCTAAATTGTTAAAAGGTGAATCTTGTTTGGCAAAAAAAAAGTCTGCCTCTTAATGGTTCTAAAACTCTCTGAATTTTTTTTGAACGGCAAAAAGAAAGAGCGTTAGGAAAAGAGCTTCGGCACAGCTATCACCCCCTCCCAAACACCCTAAAAAAGTTATAATAAATCTAGTAAGGCGCTAGAAAAGATACAAAAGAATTAAAACAAAGCTAACGGATTACAACCCCATCTAGACCAATCAATATTACATTTAGATCTAAATTTAATCTAAGTAAAAAGCATAGCTTGAGAATCCACCATCACTGCTTCCCACGAGAACCTTTTGTTATTGAAGATCACATCATTTCTTGCCTTCCATGTAAACCAAAGAATGCTCCCGATAAGTGCCTCGATCATTTTTCTTTGTTTATTCGATTTGGCACATTCAATCAGATTGACCACCATCTGATCAAGGGAAGAATGATTGCCAGAGTTTATATCACACCATCTCTAGACCCATCTCCATATCTCTTTTGATTTTTCACAGACGTAAAAAAAATGTTCTTCCATTTCCACTTCTTTTCCACAAAGCGGGCAAGAATCAGTTTGCAATTGTATAAGATTCTGTCTTGTAGGAAATCTCCTAAGAAAAAGCCTCCATAAGAAGCAATTTATTTTTAACGGAAGCCATTTGCACCATATTGATTGCCCCACAACATCACCATTAAGTTTCTCATCCAAAATAGCTCTCATGGATTTGACAGTGAAGATCCCAGTACTATCCCCCACCCATATCCATTTATCCCTACCATTAGAGAACTCATAATTCCTTACCAAATTTTGTAAATCGGTAACTCTATCTGAAAGTCTGCTATTAACGATTGGACTCTCCAACCAAGACCAATTCCATAACCTCCCGTCGCTACTATTTGGAGTATATCGATCAACAATGAAGCATGATCTATTTCTTTCAAAAATAAACAAGTCAGGGAACATACTATTAAGAGTATTGTTACCAGMCCATTTCTCAATCCAAAATTTTGTTTCCTCCCCATTACCCACAACACGAATGAATAAGCGATCTAAATCAACATTAAGAGGGATTAGAGCCATACCTGCCTTAATGATATTTAGTCACACACCAGAGCACCTCGGATTAGCCATGAAGTTTGAATCAGCACCTGACACCCCATGAATCGCTTTAATAACTTGTGCCCATAAGGCATGCTCTTCTATCTTTAACCTCCACCACCATTTTATCAAGAAAGAAATGTTGGCAGCATTGAGCGAGCCAATTCCGAGTCCACCATTTGTTTAGGAGCAACAACATTATGCCATTTCACCCAATTAATCTTAGACTTCCCAGAAGCATTCAAGCCCCATATAAATCTTCTTCTTTTTTTCAATTGCCTCAATTACTTTACCGGGGGATTTAAAAATTGAGAAAGAATACAATGGAATGCTGCCCAAGACCGATTTACAGAGTGTTACCCTTCCTCCAAAAGATAAAATTTTTCCTTTCCATTTCAAAAGTTTATTATTCACCTTGTCAATTATTGGTTGCCAGTTCCGAGCAAGGTTCATGTTTGCCCCTACAGTGACCCCAAGATAGGAGAAAGGTAGCTTTGCTCGGTCGCATTTGAGGAAATTGGAAAAGATTTGTACCTCATCTTCATGTACACCAATGCCAAACACCTTACTTTTGGAGAAGTTCACCTTTAGACCTGAAGCGAGATAAAAGCAATTCAGCAGCCTGGTCATTGTACACATATTTGACGCCACCCATTTCCCTAGGAAAATTACATCATCAGCGAAGAGAAARTGCGATAAAGTGGGAYCATTGTKTGGGAGAGACACTCCATGGAAAAAGCCTTTGTTTGTTGCCTCCATCATTGCGATATGCAAACCCTCCATTGCAATGATAAAAAGGAATGGTGAGAGGGGGTCACCTTGCCTCACCCCCCTCGAGATGGGGAATTCATCAGTTGGTGCTCCATTAATCAAAACTGAGGCTCTAGCAGAAGCAAGACATCCGTTAATCCAAGTCCTCCACTTAATGCCAAATTCCATTTGTTCCAGCATAGAATCGATAAAACTCCAGCTAAGACTATCGAACGCCTTCTCAAAATCAACTTTAAAAAGAAACATCTCATTTTTCRATCYTTTTGCCCAATTACRAACTTCGTTAAGCATTAATGGCCCATCCAACATTTGTCTTCCTTCGATATAAGCTAGTTGTGCCGGACTTACTACTTTTCCAACTACATACCTCAACCTCATCGAAAGTAGCTTAGCTACAATTTTATACCCACAACCGATCAAGTTTATCGGGCGAAAATCTTTTATAACAAGAGGATCATTGATCTTGGGGAATAGAGAGATGAAAGAAGAATTGCATCCTTGAGAGAAATAGCCATGAACTTCAAAAAATTCCACTGCTCTGATCACATCCTTTTCGACAAGAGACAAAAAATGCTTGATAAATTTAAAAGTAAATCCATCCGGTCCTGGGGCTTTCTCACTTCCACAAGACCAAACGGCCCTTTTAGTTTCTTCCGTGGAAAATGGGGCTTCAATGAAGGTCTTATCTTCAACAGAAAGTTTTTTGAATAAAGAACTTTGAAACTTTGGGCGAGAATGCATATGTTCACAAAACTTGTTTGAGTAGAACCCATACGCCTTATTCTGAATCGTCTTCGGTTTAGTTTCCCATACCCCATTAACAATGAGACCATTAATCCTGTGTCTATTCCTGTTTGCGTTTACAACCCCATGAAAGAAAGAAGAGTTCTCATCTCCATCGATCACCCATTTCACTCTGGCTCTCTGTTTCAAATCCAAAGTGTTGACATATTCCAGATGTTTTACTTCTGCCTTCCATTTTTTCTATCTTCAATTTCAGCATCTGAAAGAGGACCTGATTCTGCCTTTGTTTCCAGATCATCAATTTTCTTTTTGATTTCTTCAATACTAGATTTTTCTTTATACAATACCGAGACCTTCCATTTCTTAGTCGCCCCTTTTACCGCTCTTAATTTGGCTGCTAATGTCAAATCAGCCGTACTCCTGCATTTAATTGAATTCCAAGCAGTATGAACTAAATCCCGAATGTCTTATGAACAAGCCAAGAATTAAAGAACCGAAACGGAGTGGGACCAAAATCCGCTGAATTGCAAGTGAGAACAATCGGGCAATGGTCCGAATATTCTCTTGCAAGAATCGTAGCATTTGCGTCTGGCCACATCGACAAGAACTCCAATGAGACAAAAAATCTATCCAATTTACTAAGAGAGGTCCCATCGTCACTCATCCAAGTATACAACCTTCCCCCAAGCTTAATTTTGTGTAACTCAGAATCTCTTATGAAACCATTAAAAAAATTTGCACCACCAGAGGAAAAAATTGAGTCAATTCTCTCCCCTCTGTCCCTTAATTCATTAAAATCTCTCATCAAAATCCATATACCACTCCTAGAATGAATCTGATTACTTAAATCGGTCCACAAGTTCAATATAGAATTGAGCTGTCTAGGAGCGTATACATCTACCACAAAAACATCAATGTTTAACCCTTTTATACGCCTAATAACGATAATGAAATTGGAATGTTTCAAACACTGAGATTTCACAAATAAGTTGGAGTCCCAAATGCATACCAGACCCCCCGATCTCCCTTGAGAAGCTACAACCTCAAAATCAAAATTGGAATTATACCAGAGAATTGAAGGATTGATATTACCCGGATTCGCAAATTGAGTTTCTTGAATCGAAAGCAAGTTCACCTTGTGTTGTTTAATCAGTCTTTTCACCCATTTTGCTTTTTGATTACCCCCAATACCTCTTACGTTTAGAGACAACATATTCATTGGGGAACGTTTGATTGCTCCTTATTTCCTGCTAGCAACTTCCTGGTTGCTTCTTCAAAACCGTCCATTTGAAAACCAATCTCCTTCCCAAAATTCATTATATCCAGACTTCTGCTTCCAATCTTTGCTCACCCGATTCCTGCTCAGTAACCACGCCTGTAGGTGCTGCCGATAAAGGGGTAGATCTAATTGACATCCCAGATGAAGATCGTTGAGATTGGAGAATACGATTCCTCTCATTTCTACGATTATCCCAGATCATGGCTGACGAATCTTTAAACTTTGATCTCCTTGACATGCTTCTAGAAAGTGAAAAATTCTGCCCTTGACTTCTTGACGAGGAAGACGATGTAAATGGTATGTTCAGGTCAAAGGCATGGTCATTGGGCTTATCTTTTAAAAAATCACCATCATTTAATTTTTTTATCCCATCATTTTTAACAATCTTGGGCCCATTAGCCATAATCTCTTCTTGATCACCCAGCCCACTAGAAACTAGGCCAAAATACCCATCATCATTTTTAGAAGAGTCTACAACCTCCTCTCCACTACTTTTTGATAATTGCTCATGTTGACTCTGCTTGGAAAAAGAACCAACCTTATCATTAGCCACTTTCTTCGGACCAGGAGTAATTGATATCTCTCCCTCTTCGAGAACAACCTCTTCAACTACCAACTTTGCCAGCGACTTGTCATTCCCCTCCCCCATTTCTGGCGCCAACATCTCCGGCGATTTTATTGCATTCTCTCGTTCAAAGATTTCGAAATCATCATAATTTTGTCCAACTTTACCGTCCGAATCTTGATAGGACATCTCCTCATCCGAATCGTCAACGACTTCCTTATCACGTGCGAAATCCGGGACCCATGATTCTTGTAACTCCGATAACCATATCCTATACGACTTATTCTTCCAATT